ATTCAAGTAGCTTGAAGTATTTCATTTATATGTATATTATTAATTATTGTTGGGCATACTATTTGCATATTTATTAGCGAGTTTCTTAAATAATTTCTCCGAAGAAAGTGAGGATGAAATATAATATAATAACAAAGTATGTAACAATCGCAGATGTTTTATTATACATTTATACAAAATTATAACATTTTGCAACCTTTCAAAGAAAACGACTATTAGATTGAAATTTTTACTTTTTTTTTTATTTATTGTTAGATTAGATCGTGAAAATTTAAAAATTAAGGAAAAATCCTTAAAAAAAAACACATACTGAACGAATTGCAACAACGGTATAATCGATTGTTTAAATGCATTTTCTTACTTTTAAGGACGTATAGAATAAACATATTACGAAACAATTTTGTTTCTGGTGAAAGCAAAAAATCGACGATTTTTAAGTTACCAAGCTCGGTAAAAAAGTTGTCGAAAACGAAATAATTAACCATAATGACGGTGTTTTAGTTTTGAATAGTGCACTTTAATATTTATCAATGGCGACAAATGTGGTACTGGTTGTCATAGAATGCAAGAAAGTATGATATGAGGTATGGTTTAAATGATTTGTATACATTATGATCGAAGAGTGAACGAAAGATAGAGTCGTTGTTGATGTCTCAATTCCAGTAAAATAGTTTCTAACGTTATTCAAATATAATATTAAATACACAACTGCAGTTGGCATAATAAAGTATTTACAAAATTAAAATTTAAAAAAATAAAAAATATTTGGATTCGTTTTGGTTCGATTCAATACTTATATTATGATAATAAACAATTCATTTTGCACAAGAAATGCAATATATATTCCTATTGTACTTCGAAACCGATAACCTTACATCTATTCCGTTTTCAAAATAAAATTTCTTCATTTAATTATTCAAGACGTTACTTATATATCTAAAATTATCGAGCGATGGTCATTTAAAAAATAATCTGACTAAGTTCTGATCAACACCGATAATGGCAATATTTTGCACACGGCGATCGAAACCTGTAATATACCATCCCGCAAAGATAGATTAAAATCGATGGCAGTGTTCTGTGTCTTACAGGCTAGAGAGTACGCTAAAAGAAAATCCATTTACCTCGTCAACGACAATCAAAAGCAACCCCTTCATAAAACTACAAATAAATCTCTAAGTCAGATTCTTGATTCGGTTAAAAGATTTTTCATTTAAAGGGAGCAAGATTACCGTTCCACGAAGATTCGCGAGTTCGAGCTGAACGCAGATTGGAATAAACTTTATTAAAATGAATTCTCGCGAGTTCCGAATTCCGAGTTCCGACAGGAAGTTGGTTATTAGTCCTCCCCATTTAGGTCCAAAGTTTGGAACTGCGTGCTCGTTGCCTCGGGAGGGGGTAGAAGGAACGACCAAAAGGGGTTGGAAATGTAGGGATTTAGATAAACGACCGACAGGCAAATATTCTGCATTTAAACGTTTTAAGCGTTCCTCGCCAGCTTGTTTCGCTCTCCTTTATTTGTTTCTCCCAGTAACGACGTTACACCTTTGAAAAAAGAGACTTACGTAGATAGACATGAGTAGCATTAAATCGTTAGGTTTTTTTTTTTTTCTTTCTTTAAGTTAATTAAATTAAACAATATGTACTGCACCTCGCGTACCAGCGATACGCGACGAGTTTAGGCACTTTTTAACGCACGTATGCGATACTAAACACCGGCACGTGCTTAGCCCGTGTAACTTTGCACCATCGATAAGACTTATCTACGATATTCCTCGGTTTCTATTATCGTGCACCATCTAGTCACGATGGCGTCAGCTTTTCTGACGCACGCCCGTCTCAAGATCGGTGGACACCTTCCCTTGGAAGCTCGTAGAACGTTCTGATTCTCGTCCTGTTCATTTCGTTGCGCCTACGTACCACCGCCTTCCAACGTATCCATTCGACAAAAGTCTATCCGCGCTTTCACGCAGCATTTTACTTAGGTTACGACTGTACAATACAACAGAACCGTGTGTAATTAGAATAAACTTCTCGTTTTATTTTCGTAGCGTTCCGTGTAAACACATCATTCCGGATCGTAAGCATAGCGTTTATCACAGACATCAGCTGTAGCTTCTGGACGTTTATGGTTGCAAATTATAGGTTCGTAACCGGAAGTCGGACCATCTTTTCCACGGTTTCCAAGATCAATTTCAGGTTCCTTTTAAGGTGATCCCGTCGAAGACGGAGTAAACAAAGTTTTGTCGCGTACCTTTATCTTTCACAGCCACTGGTCATCGAATCAGAGCCCGTGAAAATTCATTTCTATGTTACAAATTAATTTTCAGACTTTTCTGTTAATCGTCAAATTGGATTTAAAGTGTAAATTTTGTTCTTGTTTCGTTTGACAAAAGTACAGGCGGTGATGTAGCGATGAAAAGAATCAACGAACCGAACTAATCGATTCCTTTGTTACTTGGTACTCGTTGAACTCGTTACTGTTTCTTGAAGTCGGTCGCTGAGTTGAGTATTACGCTTCTAAAGTATTCCCTGGCTACTTTAACGCAAGCAAGATAAAAGTTCAACTTGAATAAATGTTACACGTAATTTAATCCACTGGCTGAGAATTAATTTGTAGACTTAATAATTATGACCCTGCATGAAAAATTGCAAATTGTTTTTCAATGCACAAATTTATATTACGTACTAAATGACGATGTGTACACAGCAATTGTATATTTTATTGTATATTTTACTGTCATTCTGCAATCTGATACTGTAAATAATATCCTCAGTCACAGTTATAAAAAAAAATGAATTCTTTTAATTCACAATCATACAAAGGGATTGAAAATATTGAAATTTGATTGAAATTTTTCGCAAAGGTGGCCGAACACCCTGTATACATGGCATGGCAAATTGAATTACAAGCTATAATCAAAGCAAAAGGAGGAAGCACGCGTTATTAACACGAATGTTGTGTATCTCGTGTGTATAATATTCAATCGACATTGTTAATAAAGTTCAGTCGTGCTTTGTAATCCCTTCAAAGTATCGAAAAAGTTGAAAATCTTCAACGACCCCAATTCGATGGCCAGAAACTGTACTTGGGTGATCGCGCACGAAACATCTATGACGAAAGATTGGAGATTTTACGTAAAACTGCGTCTGTTATGCTCTGTATTAATGACAATTACGCGTATCTTGAGAGTGGATCTCGTTCGTTAAAATGGAACGTTCGCTATCGCTAAAATCTACGATATCGTCTAAGACGCGGTCGTCTCAGACGGGGTTTCGCGTAGACATTGTAACGCTAATCACATCCAGAACTATGTTCCTAACACTGACAAAAGTATTTCGCGTGGAAGAGTCTCGATTCGTCACCTTAAACGGGAACCTTTTCTTGGAAGAAAGCGTATGTGTGTGCTGAAGGTGCGTGACGAAAAAAATAAATGTACCCATTGGTTGGTATAGTCTTGCGTTATCCGTTATTACGCGATATTTTGTCGTGGACGCTAACTTCATATCCGCGAGAATGTCCTTGTGCCAAGTAAGAAAGGCTTCGTTGCTGTCGATGGGGATCCAGATCTGATCGAATCGCCTCGAAACGTCATCGAAAAAGTCTTGATTGTCAAGTCTTGTCCTCTTTATGGGTTTCGAAATCTATAATAAGTCCTGAACACTCTGCGCAAATAAACAAATTTGTTCATTTCCTACGCTCCAATAGCTGTTCAAATTCTGATTATTTCTTACGTTAGTAATCAACTTCGTCAATTTAAACAAAATACATTAGTACCCTGCAAATCTTTAAGTAACTCATACTCAATTGTTTATTACTTGTTCAATCATTTATATATAAAAAATTTGTAAACAATTCATACGTTACTTATAAATCTGTACAGTCCTAATAGATGTTTTAAAATCAACAATGTTAATTGGTTGGTTATAAAAAATTCATGCGGCATTTAAAATTTTGTTGAAAATTGACGAAATTAATTATTTATTTATACGATATTTGTGAACAATTTACGTGCTATTTCACGGTTGGACGGCGAACCGCAAACGGTTGAGACTGGGTCATTTATGACCTGTGGGAAAAATTTCTGCTCGACATGTTGGAAACTGATACCTTTTTTTATGTTTTGTTAATTCCTCTACGGAAATTAAAAACTTTGAGAATGTAAACATTTTATTTTATTAATCTATCTATTGTTTGATCAATATCGTCAATATTTTCGACTTCTATTAGACTTTCAAAGACGAGACCCTTCTTATTCTAACAATGAGATTAGTATTATTCTAACTTGATTCGTTTTAATTATACGAAATGCTAATACGTCCTTCCCTTTTGAACACGAACGTTGAACGATAAAGCCTAACATTATATTCATAAGCTTGGGTCCAAAAAGATCCAGTCTTCGTCACGCGAGGGTCATTATAAACGTGACAACTGTTTTAAATCTAAACAGCTATTTAAACGTGTTATTTGCATTACTATCAATAAGAAAAATAAATAAAACGTTTTGCAAATCTATAAATGCATTTATTTGTTTATGCAAAATATTCAAGACGTATTAAAGACAGTGGTTGAAACGGTTCCCAAAAAGTAACTTTCATACTGTCATACGTCGATTCTGAATGGAAATAGTTATGCGAATTGAAAAAATCTTATAATTATTAAAGATCTATCTGTCCTACTTTATGTCGATATCGGATTTTATATTGGTTTTGTATTTTGGCCTCTAGAATCTCCCATTAAAATTTTCACCAGAGGTGACCGTACCATAATCAAACAAATGTCTGACTAACCGTAATTGAAATCGAAATAAGCTAAAACCGATGTATCCACGACGGATATAACATTTGTTCCAACATTTGTTTTCAATCCCCGATTAAAAGTTACAAGTCCGATCAACACTTTTAAGACTGGATCCGAATAACGTTCGAAGCGATTCGTATCTCCGATCTTGAAAGTCTCGAAGCTCTTGCCAGACCCAGATTCAAACGTCCATCACGATTCATTGCAACAGACCGTTCCTGTCGTAACTGACAGACCTGAACGCGTCCTCCACCAGATTCGTTAGGCACCTGACAGCCTGCAGCAAAGCTGCTAGGAGAATGGACAGTGAGAGAGAGATAAGTTTGCTAGGCACAAGAGCATTCTCCGAGGAACTTTGACCTCTGCTCGATATCTTCTTTCGTTTCCTTTTCTCGAAACCTTTGCCATCGCCGGACTCCTTATCCTGATTTCTATCGCCGGAGATCAGGCCTCGTCTTGGCCTAGCGGGCGATTTCTCACGTGGGTGGGTAGCATTATCCGACAGCAGTTCCTTCGAAGCTTTCGATCTCTTTTGATCGTTTGCATCCGACACGGTGAACCGTCTGTGGGAAGTGATGGACTCGATCTTTCTGCGAAAATCCTTCGTCCTCGCCTCCATGATGGTCCATTGTTTCTCGTCGATCCCCCTTTTGTTCAGAGCCTTGGAGAACCTCTCGCGAGGGGTACGCAGCATCTCCTCCGACCTGGCTTTCACCGACAGGTCCAAGGAATTGCTGTTCACAGTCTCGAAGAGCAGGTTCTGCAAAGAGCTCTTACCGGTCTCGTGCTTGTCGTGCTTGTCGAAATTTGGGAACGCCGAATTCTCGTCCAAAGAGTTCGTTCTACTGTGACACTTGTCCCGGCAGAACAACTTCTTCTCCGCGCAGGTGGTGTTCAAGTTGTAGTCGATGATCGTCGGCTCTTCGGGCCCGGATGAACACAGTCGGATGTTCTCCTTCGTTCCCTCGAGGAACACTCTCCTAGGCAACGTTTTGTTCAGACTGTTCGGGATAAAGTTCATATAATTCGAGTTGCTCTCCTCCCGGAAGATCGTCGAACCGTTCGCGTAATCGACTTTTGAACGATCGTCCGCCGATCCGGATCGATTGTTCTCTTCCGCATTGGCAGTGTCGGAAGATTCTTCGTTGGAGGCGTCAAAGGCACCGGCGCCAGCGTCGTCATCTTCGTCGTCGTTGTCTTTTATCGGTAGATCGCGATCCACCCAAACTTCCTCCTCTTCCTCCTCCTCCTCCTCCTCGTCCTCGTCCTCTTCGTTCTCTTCCTCCGAGTCGACGGTCAAAGGCTTTCTCTTCTTCGCAGGAACGATCCCGTCGGCATAGAGGAGGTCTTGAACCTCGGAGAGACTCTTCTCGATGCTGGGACTTTTGTACAAAAGGTTCCTCAACTCCGGTATATCCAAATTCTGAACGTGAAGTAAATTTTGTTCGATGTTCATGAGACTCTCCTCGATCTGTACCAAACACTGTTCGATGTCGCAGCCCGATTCGCTGCAATGCCCGCTCTCCGACTTAGCTTCCGACTCACCGATCCTCGTAGCGTCTACGTTGCCAAGGTTCGCCGACTTTTGTTTCTTGTCGTTGGCCACCTCGGCGCTACCGAGCAGGTGTCCCTTCCAGGATTCGACTGGCCAACCGGACGTCTGCAGGAACTCCCTCTGCTGCGTCTGGCTATCGTAGTACACCCTGTAATTGCTGTGACTATTGGCTACCTCGTAATTGCTATGCTGTCTACTGTCCCAGTTGAGCTGGTCAGTCTCCGTGTTCTCTCTGATGCTTCTCTCCCTGTTCCCGGACGAAGCGCTGTGATCGCCGTGGCTATTGGCCACCGAGTAGTTCATCGTGTCGTCTCGATTCGCATCCAGGTAGTTCCTGATCGCCAGCTCCGAGTATAACTCGCTGTACCTGCTATGGCTGCTCGCTTGATTCGCGTTCCCGTGGCTGTTAGCGATCGGATAGGTCATGCTGAAGTCGACTTCTTCCCGAAGCTTTCCGGCTACTGCTTGCCCGATTCTGCCGTAGATCTCGTCGTTCCCGTGACTGTCGGCGTCACCGTCGTCCTCGTCGTCGTCCAGTTCCTCGGCCCCCTCGGGATAAGGCAGTTCCTGGCTCTCGTCGGGCACAACGGTTGGCTCGAGACACGCGTCGTCTATCAATATGTAGCCATCGAGAACGTTCTCGTCGAGATCGATCCAGTTCCTCGACCGATCCTCGCCGCGATCACGGCTCAATTCCGCGTCTTCCGGGTCACTGGCCTGTTGCCGTCGTCGTTCGCGTATCATTGGACCCTGCGCGTGCACTTGCACCGGGCAGAGGACGTCGGTTCTCCTCTCGACGCCGCAGGTGGCTGGCGGCACCGTCGCCACCAGCGGCGCCTCTTCGTCCAGCAGAGCTTCTCGGGATTCACGGTACCTGTAGCCGGGACACGGGGTGTTCACCGGAGAGTGTGAGAGGAGGTTTACGTAACCACCGACGCCTCTGCCTATGAGCGATCAGGTGATCGTCGGCGATCCTCGATCCTGGCCCAACGCTGAATCCTGGCTTTCGTTCAGCGCCTCGTCGGTCAGCCTTACGCGATGGGGGTTGCAAACAACCTGAACAGACGGAGAACATGAAATGGTTAAAAAAATCCAAACTGTCCCACTTTTTAAACTCGTGATAAAATATTCAACCCGTTTCGTTTTAATCCCCTTACTGCTAAGTGTTATTCGTACTTCAGGAAATGAATCTACACGCTAGAAGTAAAAAACTTACTGAATACATGCTACTGAAGGTCTTACATGGGAAGGATCCGAATTGTTGGATGGGGATTTTAATGGGTCTTTGCAAGGTGATAGTATACAGAGTGATCGGCCACCCCTGGGGAAAATTTTAATGGAAGATTCTGGGGGCCAAAATAAGACGAAAATCAAGAATACCAATTTGTTGATCAAGGCTTCGTTGAAAAGTGATGGTGGTTCATACTCAGCATGAGAAACTTGGTACTCATTAATTGCTACATACCACAAGTAATAATTGGAACACACAACAGAGTAAAAAATAACAATTCAAATGTTTAGACAACCGTTAGGCTCTCCCCTGCCCGTATGGTTATACCCACGATAACTCGAATACTTGGAGAATAATTGAATTAATTGAATAAATCATTCACCCTCGGATGGCTGATCTTGATGTCCCTGAATTCGTCAGTGAAAGTCAAAATATAGACGCAGAACGCTGTTGCGCAGACCCATTCCGTAATCGCGCTGGCGACGTGCAGTTCCCAGCCACCGTCCCCCTTGTACCATTTTCGTGGATTCGTTCCTGAAAATCGAAAGGTGGTTAATAAACGAATGAGGTAGATAGCGCTGAAAGAGGGAAAGGCAACGAACCAACCCTTATAGGCCATGCGCGACAGCACGCCGGTGATAAGGCTGACAAAGAAACAAACGGTGCAGAAGATGGATAACGCCGTTCGAAGATGTGCCAGTCTTAAGGAACACCCGAGTGGATGCAGGTAGAACGAGCACACGGCCTGAAAATAAACCACACACACGTGTACCTAATGAAAGTCTGTGTTTCGACGCAGACATTACGGAGTAATGTATTAATCAGCTTTCCAGAAAGTTACGCAACGCAGAGAGAACGAATCGCATTTCCTTCGACGTAATCTAATTACTCGATAATCAACATCGTCCTATCGGAATTTTTGACTCCTTGGCTCGTAGTTTCTTTGTTAATCGGCACGTTATGCAATCGATTCTTTCTACTTTTTAAAACTTACGCGTTCCAAGCAAACAAAAATTCTCTAATCTTCGACTTTCACATTTTTCGCGTTCCTTCAGGTTGCGTAACGAATCCATTCGTGTTTCTTTATGGTGATATTAAATATTGACTATTTTGTATAAAACTCAATTTCAATATTTCTTTAGGATGAAACTGATTGGTTTGTGTATTAAAAGATCTAGATACGTGTACATTGATTTCTTCGGTGCTTTCAAACAATTTTTTATTAAGAGAATTTTCAATGCACGAAACAAGTATAAATGAGACGATGCAAGGTCTGGTCAATAATTTTTGTCGTTAAACATATTTCAGTAATTGAAATTTTAGAGCAAACAGTATTGAAAATCGTGTAATCTTATAATATTCGTTCATTTTAACAACAAGTAAAGAAATTTCTATTCACTTTAGATACGTGTTTCAATTACATTTTTTAATATTAAAAAGAAACTCGCTTCAAAGTGTCTGACAATTGAGTCAAATAATAGCATATGATTATAATTCCGGATACAATTAACGCTATTGCAAATATAACTTTCCATTTACGTTTTTTCTCGATGGAGGTGAAATGGAAAATGTATTTGTAGCTTTGAATCGATGGAATCTCATTACACACCTGAGTCCAGAAATATGCAGTGCCGCCACCAAAACAGAGAAGCGCGCCGATAAAGTGCACAACGATCACAGACGTTTCTTGAAAATTAGCGACCACTGATAGCCCAAAGGTAGACGTTAGGCCAAAAATTAACGCCCAACGATTCCACTTAGGTAACGATGATTGCAAGCTGAAGGTGCTCGAACACTCTCTCACCAAAGAGTACCTTATGTACACCACGAATGACACTGAAATCGCAAAAATATTAAGAGAATAAACAATATCAGTACCCGATATACAATACTATACAAATTGATTGAAATTTCAGAGTTTACTAATTTGCTTGTACAGAAAAATTTGAGAAATTTTTATATTATTTACTTTATACTTTTTACTATGGCTTATAGTATATTTTTACTATAGTAACATTCTTTTTTACTATATTTTTTCTTTGTATTTATAATACTTTTTTATCGATATAAACTCTGCTTATTTAATAAAAAAAGTTAATTTGTTTTTCAATATCCCACAACTTGCCCAATTTTTCATACTTTTTTTTGAAAAAAATTTTCAGTTTTTAGATTCTGATGATGAAAGGATTACAAAAATTGCATTAAATTCACTCTCACGATAAAAAGAACTGAAAACAAAAAATTTTTGTTGTACTCTACGAATATCTTTTTACACCTTAAAAAGCCCAATATTATTAATACTTTGCTAGGAACAAATGATATAAAAGTCATCTGTTTATACCGCTGTTAGAAGCCTCCCTTAATTAGATATATTTCGCTTTTTCCGTAACTTCGATAGAGTACACAATACCAGGGGTGTAATTTTTATTATTTTAAGAACACTTAAAAGATTATTTTATATTAATTCATCTATGTGTATTATAATTTCTCAGAATCTTGATATTAATTTCATTTAAACGCTTCGAAACAATTCATCGTTAACGGCTATGTTTATCGAAATCCACGCAAACAAGTCGAACGACACGTTTGTCCCGGGAAACGGAAATTTATTTATAGTTCGCCGGAACTATTGCGTATTCTTTGTAGAGTTAGAATCGAGGCCGCCGCACCACGTGCAAACTGTCGATCGATTTTCTCGCCTGCAAAGGGAACATCGAAAATTTCAATCCATTCGTCGGCTCGATCCACTCACTGAGCATCGCGATCATGTTGATAAACTGGGCGAAAATGCAGCTCTCAGGTGCGTTGGTCGCTGCGTCCGAGATGTACGGGAAACCGGCTACGTGGCCCAACAGTACCGCTATTACATAACTGGAAAATAGAAGTGTGCGTATTTACAATCGGCTGAATTATTCATCGGACGGGTAGGAAGTTTCAGCTGTCAGTTTTGTGAATGTTCGATAAAGATATAGTCCTAAGCACGATATAGCGAGCTCGTAAACTAAACTCTCGAGGGTTGGGACCGACATCTTGCTCGAGGGTTCCTTTCTGAATGTCTTTCTATGCCCGTAACTGCACTATCTTTCTTCTATTTCTACATGCATATATTACAAGCAGGTAAATTAAGATACTAAAGACTCGAGTAAGACCTCTACTTGTTACGATACCTCTAAAAATGGCGACTATAGTCTAAGGCCCTTAGCTGCTCGTATTTCTGTCAATTCACTTGTTTCGGGAGCTGGAACGTGTAAACTTTGACACCTACTCGAGTTTACAACCTTGCTATATCGTGGCCCGTACTATACATGCTTCAAGGGAAGGCAGTTTCATTGAATTTAACGTAGTATTTAAGTCGTCGCTTCGTGCACTCGGTCAAGATTAGCAACACGGATTACACGAATGACAGAATGTCGATTATAAATACGAATATTCGATTGAAAATCGAGTGCATGCAAAGCGACTCGAGAAGATAGTGATTATGAGTCAGCAGATGCTAATTGAATATTTTATCTGGCTGCACGATAACGCGAAATCGTTGAGTAATTAAATATCTCTCGTTACAAACGCGTGATAATAATACGTTATTCGTGGCCAGTTTTTAGTGGACCTATGCGTGTTTTTATCTACGGTGTGTGCTTAACGATGCAGACCTCATATTCATTATATGCCAGCACGGCGTACAATCAGCAAGGTAAATTTTAAACGAAGAATAATAATTCACACGGCGTGCCGTAGACAATTGTACGCCCAAATGGAACGTGCAAACGAGAAAAAGAAAAAGGAAATTAATTAAGCATCCTAATTGAAATACAAAGGGTCCGAGAAAAAATATTTAAATGAATTCGAAAGCAGTCGAGCGTAGACGGTCGAATGAGCTCCGTAAGACCCGAAGAACACTTAAACGAGTATTATAACTAACTGAGACTACGTTATTAGTCGAATCGTGCAATCTTTTGTGTAACGATCTGCATCTCTTTATGAAACACCAAATTGAAGATTTCAAACAAAAAGGATTAATATTTGCTAAAAGAGCATTTAATTACAATTTTAACGTAATATGAAAAAGTTAACTTTTGGGTGTCAAAACAGTTATTTCGTTATACAGTTGTCTAACATCATGCTGTGTGAGCTTGATAGATGAGTATGTTCCAAATGTCATTTTACATTATACAGCGTGTTTGGCCACCCCTGTGAAAATTTATTATTTTGTTGATTGAGGCTTCACACAGTATATTCTCGGTAAAGAATTTTTTTCTCGAAAGTGTGTAGAATTTCGGTGCTATGTCTATTCAACAAAAATGATTGTAATTAACCCCTGCAACCAAAAATAATTTTTCCAGAACGATTTGAAATTTTTTAATTTTGTGGACTTTGTCTACCTTTCTGAATTTTTTTCTCGAAAGTGCGTAAGATTTTGGGGGTATCTCTATTCACCAAAAATGATTGTAATTAACCCCTGCAACCAAAAATAATTTTTCCAGAACGATTTGAAATTTTTTAATTTTGTGGACTTTGTCTACCTTTCTGAATTTTTTTCTCGAAAGTGCGTAAGATTTTGGGGGTATCTCTATTGACCAAAAATGATTGTAATTGACCCCCCAAACTGAAAATAATTTTTCTAGAACGGTTTAAAAATTTTTAATTTTGTCGACTTTGTCCACCTTCCTGAATTTTTTTCTCGAAAGTGCGTAGGATTTTGGGGGTATCTCTATTCAACAAAAATGATTGTAATTAACCCCTGCAACCAAAAATAATTTTGCAGAACGATTTGAAATTTTTTAATTTTGTCGACTTTGTCTACGTTTCTGAATTTTTTTCTCGAAAGTGCGTAAGATTTTGGGGGTATCTCTATTGACCATAAATGATTGTAATTGACCCCCTCAACCGAAAATAATTTTTCCAGAACGATTTGAAATTTTTTAATTTTGTCGACTTTGTCCACCTTCCTGAATTTTTTTCTCGAAAGTACGAAGGATTTCGGGGGTATGTGTATTCAACAAAAATGATTGTAATTAACCCCTGCAACCAAAAATAATTTTTCCAGAACGATTTGAAATTTTTTAATTTTGTCGACTTTGTCTAACTTCCTGAATTTTTTTCTCGAAAGTACGTAGGATTTTGGGGGTATGTCCGTTCACCAAAAATGATTGCAATTGACCCCCGCAACCGAAAATAATTTTTCCGTGAGTGATTTGAAATTTTGTTAATTTAATTTTTTAGGCCTCGATCAACAAATTGATATTCTTGATTTCCGTCTTGCTTTGTCCTCTAGAATCTCCCATTAAAATTTTTTCCCAGGGTTGGTCGAACACCCTACATACCTGAAACTTATTTTGAGATATATACATTGTTACAACCGTCGTCGGTCTAGCCTGCTTAACTCTAGAACTATCAACAATGGTGTATTTATTTAGAAAGAAATTAAAACGATAGATTCTCGAAGAAACGTATAACGCAATGGGTTATAAATATTTATTCGTTCCGTTATAAAGAGCCACGGTAGCAGAAATTTTTATTAATAATTACGTATGGGTCTTACCACTTAGGTAGTTCTAGTGTTAATTGTTTCGTAACGCACGGAATTGATCGTTCCGAGATACTCACGTGAGAATGAGGACGGCAGGCAACGAGACAAACAGGAGAATCGGCAGGTAATGGAGATTGACCAGAAAATCGTGCTTGTCCATGTTGCCGTTGCGCGTTTCGGTTTGTTGTCGGGTTTCCCGCCGGAACCAGTGACGTCAGACGCCGACGTCCGCGGACGACGCCGCTATCGGGTGCAAACACGCGTCGAAGCACGCGACCGCGAGCCACGAGCACTCATGCTCGTCTGTTGCAGCAGCCGGGGGAAACCTTTGATTCCGCTTCGAATCAACCGTCGCGACGTCTAGAGCGACGACTGCACTGCGGTTCGACTGCCATCAAGTTCCTCCTCGGCGCACCTTTTGTCGGTGAACTGTCACGTGGCAGGTTAGCGCCAAAACGTGCTCCTGCTATTTCTGACCACGAGACGTTTCGAATCGACGGACTCTCGAGCCCGTCGTTCTCGATTCTCGCCCAAAGAGACACACCGATCGGATCTTAACGGGTTTCCACACCGCCACGCCGGGAGAATTTAATCCCTGGCTCGCGAACAGAAACAATTACCTCGTTAAGACCGACGCGTACAATTGAACCCGTTCGGGAGCAGCTGCACACTGATCGACGATAGCGAACGATAGCAGTACGTGACCGCGTGCGAATATTCTCACGCGGGCGTTGCCGATCGAAGGGAAGGAAGGGGCTCCTTGCTCGAACGTACCGTGGACGACTGTCGCGAACGGAAAGAATCCTTTTCCCGTGCCCTACGTTGTTTCCGTGTTTGTTCGCCAGGAAAGTCTACCCGACTGTCTCGAGTTTCACGTCGAAACTGGACGCTGAGGGGGTTGCAGTTGAAGGCTTTCCTAGAGCTGTCGGAACACTTTGAGAGAAACTGCACTTTGACGAGTTTCGAGAAACGCGAAACTGATCGCGACACGGTACGACGCGACGTTGGATTTGGATTTTAGGGTTGTCGCGCGAAGTGCCCAGGGCGACGGGCCAGCGGAATTGCAGAGGTTATGGCCGACGAAGTGCGATCGATGTTCGTGGCAGCGGTAACGGCGCTCTCGGCAGCTGCGCCACGAGACTGACGCTGACGTCGTCGTTACTGGCCGACGACGTTCTCCGAGAAACGTTTATCCCGATACTTCCCGTGGATTGTGTCTCGGCGTACGTATGGCACACCAGGTTTATCGACGGCTGGCGTACTTCGAGCAGATAATCGCTGCTGCTTGGGCTGTCGAGAACCGATAATGCACGCGCGACCAATTTTTACAATTCTGTTTCTCCTAGTTTGTTTCGTGCTCTGATAGTCGGGGAACGCGGCGTAGAAATCGAACATATCGTGCTGGTAGTTCTTGAACACGTTTCCCGAACGTGACCGGACAACAGGCTTCGTTTCTCGATAAAAAGAGACCGCGGAACAACCTTCGTAGCACTTTCCACCGGATACAGAGATCGTTTATCGATCGTAAAGACGCACACGACCGTTTAGGAGTCGCGGGTTTCTCGGTGAAATTTTTTATTCTGGTTCGGGAGGTGACGTCGTCGCGGTTGGAAATCGATGTCCTTTAATTTTCAATCGCTGGCGAGACGTTGTTGGATGTTACTCGCGTTGTCGAGGGGCGCTCGAGCGAACGATTCGGGGGCGATAAGTCACGTCCGGTGACAAAACGTACACCACGTGGACGGGAATGCGCGACCAGATGTGGCGAATCCGGCACGGTTCGCCGTTAACCGACGACGTATTATCGTCGCATCGATTCTTGCTGCAGAAACGCGGGGACAACTCCGCGTCAAGTCGACCGGTATTATCAGCGACTGCGGTGGCGGCCATTATCGACCGCCGGGAACAAAGAAACGTCGGCATCCGTTCGCGGACGAGGTGCGCGATTAGATCTTACACAGCAGACGAGGTATAAGAGTAGACCTTTCGCCTGATGTATTTTTTCGGCCCACTCTTCTGGGGTCTCGAGACCCCATTACCATTTTTGTGTCACTCGCTAAGTTACCAACAGGTTTAGAAATGAACACAAGAGGAAGTGAGACGGAAAATGAAATTACACAAATTCTATTGTATTTTAATGGAATGGAAGTATGTACATACGTGTTGTTTCCATGTTGGAACATTAAAATCCTCCAATCCGTTCACGAGATATGATTCTTTACATATACGCATGAAATTTTCAGTAAAGAATTTTTTTCCTCGAAAGTGCGTAGAATTTCGGGGGTGTGTCTGTTCACCAAAAATGATTGTAATTGACCCCCGCGACCGAAAATAATTTTTTCAGAATGATTTGAAACTTTTCAATTTCGCTCTTTGAAAGAATTTAAAAGGTATGAAAGAAGACAAATGATTCGTGGAAAAATTATTTTCGGTTGCGAGGGTCAATTACAATCATTTTAGGTTAATAGACATACCATCGAATTCCTACCCACTTTCGAGAAAAAAATTCTGATAGGTCGACAAATTCGGCGATATTAAAATATTTCAAATCATTCTGGAAAAATTATGTTCGATTTCGGGGGTCAATTACAATTATTTTTAGTGAATATACATACCCCTAAAATCTTAGTCAGTTTCAAGAAAAAAATTCGAGTATGTATTTTTTTCCCAGGGGTGGTCGAACACCCTGTATATTTCAATCAATTAAATTACTTTTAAGATAGTTCACTAGTTACCATTTGTGGCTACTGTAAGTCAATTTTAAGACTTAATATTAGATCAAATTGATATATGTATATGATTGATTTTAGTGCTTGATTAGATTGTAAGAGTAAATAATTGTATCGTCTACATGATTCTTTAATCGTATTAAGTGAAACGCAGTAGTGGATCGGATAAAATATTCAGTATAATCAAACACTAATACAGGAATGTAAATATTGACAATTTAATTTATTTTGCGGTAAATTTAAAACAACATACTTTTACGTCGAAGCCGAAATCATTAATTGCGGATGTTTTCCAGTAGTCACGATGATTCATTCCCTCAATGATAGCAGCATCGTAAAATACGACATACAGGATTTAAAAATCTTAAAACGGAAACGCATTTATTGATATTTGCTTATACTACTATAAAGTATACTTTATTTATTGCAATGATAAAAAACATAGACATATGAATTCAATTTAAGTTTAAAAAATGTTTCTATTCCGAGATGAAACTATTTCTTTTTTGCAAGGAAGTTTAGCAAGAATTTCTGACAAGATTAGGATTATAAACATTGTTACTGTTACCAGTTTCTAGCTATTAGAAATAAATAGTAACAGTACATTAGTAATATCTTTGTCACATAATTACCACTATTCGGGAATAATTCGAACCAATTCTGTATTAGAGATGAGAAAAATTCTTTTTTTGGGTAAAAACGCCAAATAACGAATAAAAAATAAACAAACGTTTATCGGTTATTTGTTACATCAGGAATAAATCATAATCATTATTAATTCGAAACAATTCGAATGATGCCTAATTTCATTAATCCCATATAATTCAGGAACATCTTGAATGTACATTGTTACGTACCATTCCAAAGTTTTCTATGTTCATGTCGTACAATCCACCCGCGGTCAATGTACACGGTACGCCGGATCTTATTTGCATCATGTAAATCACTCGTTGCATTCTCACCGGCGCTTGGTACCATTTGGAGCTGTATCTGTCGCAAGATACGCAAAATGTTACATTCGTCGTTGATTGTCGGCGTAATTATTAACAACTATATTCTTCTTTCTACACATTGAGAGCGTACAAATCGTCGAGTAATTGTAAACTGCGATCCACGAGACTTTGGCCAGGCAGACTGTTGAAAAACAAATGGAATTGCTGTGCCCCGAGGAAAATACCAATCCTCAATGCTTCTCTCACGTTATTTAGGTTCATAACCGTCTGAAAAACAAAAATGTTAACGAAGCTCGATATTTGTTCAACCGTTCATAATCTCGCGGCCAAAATGGCGGCATCTATAAGGTTGAAGATCGTGCGGGGATTCCCGTGTCTTTTGTTCGAGCCTCATGGTCGACATTACTACATTTTATGTTTAACTATGTAATATCTAATGAATAATCAAAGTGGTTGTGTTTAATATTTAAATATCGTCTATCTATAGTTATTTGATCAGCTCCTATGCAAGGGAATCTGATATTATTCAACAATATTATCTCGTTAAGTGATCGAAAGTCGGGTTCGTTTCTGTTCTCTAATAAAAGAACAATGAATTATTAAGATAAATCAATAGTAAATGGGACACCGATTCAGTAAGTGAAAATTTCAATTAGTTAACAAGACAAATCTGTACTACGTGGTTCGAACACGTTTCACGTTATTTATAAAATTATTCGTACTTGGACAGCTGTCACGCTGATACCGATCATGTTCAGCCCGATCTGAAGCAAGAAGCTTCGCTGGTTTATGTCATTGATGAGCTCGTAAAACCTCGAAATAAAAGAGTAATACGATTTAGTAGTATTGCATAAACTGTTCTTTATCTTCTCCTTGTAATTTTTTATTATTTAAAGAGTACGAACTGTATTGCTTCTTTGTGGATAATTGCGCAGTTCTTGAACTCTTGATACACGGCTCTCTCCTTCGGAGCGTTATCAATTCTCTTATCGAAACTTTGTGTCGTTTGTTTAATCCGATTCCTGTGTCGATTACAACAATTCTAATAAACAAATACTTCTACTTTGTTCCATGTATTTTATTGCGTTTTGTGAGTGCAATGCTAAAAGATTCGGTGGTCAAATTGATTTCTGTCACTAGTCAGAACTGAATATATTAACAGATTTTCTCATTTTTTTTATAACTTTTTAACAAAACATTTATACACTTTTTGTTATACAGCGTGTTGAGGCAACCCTGGGGAAAAATTTTAATGGGAAATTCTGGAGGCCAAAACAAGACGAATATCAAGAATATCAATTTCTTGATTGAGGCTTCGTTAAAAAGTTATTAACAAAATTAAAATAAAAAATTTCAAATCATTCACGGAAAAATTATTTTCGGTTGCGGGGGTCAATTACAATCATTTTTGGTCAATAGAGATACCCCCAAAATTCTACGCACTTTCGAGAAAAAAATTCAAGAAGGTGGACAAATTTTTCGACAAAATTAAAAAATTTCAAATCATTCTGGAAAAATTATTTTTAATTGCAGGGGTCAATTACAACCGTTTTTGGTGAATAGACATACCCCTGAAATCCTACGTACTTTCGAGAAAAAAATTCAGGAAGGTGGACAAATTTTTCGACGAAATTAGAAAATTTCAAATCATTCTGGAAAAATTATTTTTAGTTGCAGGGGTCAATTACAATCGTTTTTGGTGAATAGACATACCCCTGAAATCCTACGTACTTTCGAGAAAAAAATTCAGGAAGGTGGACAAATTTTTCGACAAAATTAAAAAATTTCAAATCATTCTGGAAAAATTATTTTTAGTTGCAGGGGTCAATTACAATCGTTTTTGGTGAATAGACATACCCCTGAAATCCTACGTACTTTCGAGAAAAAAATTCTTTACCGAAAATATACTGTGTGACCGGAAATGTTTCTATAACTTTTTAACGAAGCCTCAATCGACAAATTAATATCCTTGATTTTCGTCTTATATTGTACTCTTGCTGTTATTGGAAAAATGTGGGACACCTCGTATATTAATTAGAAATCTTTAACGGAAATAATATTACAAAAGGCAAATCAAAAGATATGTGTGTTGAGTGGATACGATAAGTGACTTTTTTTTATATAAATAATTTCAGTTAACTGCAACGCGTGAATAGGAATTGTGCACAAAATTAAGTTATGAAATTTTATAATCCATTCTGCATACGCGGAATTAAGTGTATTTTAGGAAGAATAAATGATCGCGGTTGAAGAAAGGTGCTAGATCGCGCATTTAAATTTTAGAGCTTACATTTACCCGCATATGGCGAATAATCCACAGGCATGGTGCGTTACGAGCATGTACATGGAGTCTACGGTAACGATAGTTACCACAATAGTGGTCGAAGTCCAAATTGAATGAAAGTATATAGGATAGAAATATTTGTCATCGTCTACCAAATAGTTAAGCTTGAACACTTGTTGTTTTAGTCGTGTTTCATTCAACGGTAGAACGATGTCCAAGAATAATGGTATCAGCGGGAGGAAAGCGAATAATACCAAGGATCCCAATAAAGCAGCTGTAAAGGATATAGAGGGATTCACAAAATAGATCGTATTTTGGTCTATTTGATTGGATTTGTGACATGCAGATATTAACAATTTTCCTCTGATCGAAATATATCGTAATTCATGTAAAATTAGCTACTGTTCTTTTACGGTTCATCATTTTGTTGTTTTCGACATCGTTCAAAAAATGATGACGTACTTGTGAAATACACAACTGATTGACCATTCTGTAGATCGATAATATTTTCTTTGGACAAAACTTTATTTTAAGTACGCAAATAGTTATGGAATGAGTATCGAAGAAGCCATAGGTAAACGTTCTATGAAACATTGTGAAAAATACTTGTCGCTAAAAATTAGTAAAGTGTACCTACTTCTGTACAGGAATGCAATATTACTTCCAGTTTTTGTGATTTCGTCCAATATTTGTACCTCATTTTTAAACTTCAATGATTCCCATTCGCTTATCACGAAGTCATATAACTTTCTGAACTGCAAAACATTGATCTCCATGATACTGGTTTTTACATAAAATTTCATCGTAGAATAATGCGAGTAAATACTTTTTTCCTGTTAATGTTAAAGTTTATTAGTTTTATCATCGTGACGAGATTCGTAACCATAATCGGTATAGCATCCAACACCTTATCAGTGTCATGTTCACAGAACGACGTGACGAATCCTATAATCTGTCAAACAGAACGTTCAACTATTTCAGAATTATCACTTTCCTGGCGATTTTTATTACTTTATTAATATTCTGTTATGAAATAACGTGCTATCCGCCTGGCAACATATGTATCTTGATATTATCTCACTTACAGTTGGTATCAACAGGCTTACGAGACTGGTTAAAATCATGATGAACAGAGTGTTCCGACTACAATTCGTTTGTTGAGGATACTGTCCTATTAATATCAAAAATTTCTTGAGCTCTCTGTAGTACGGAATATCACCTAAAGTGACATAACAGTTCTTGTTCCTCTGAAATACTAACGTTACAGATTTACATATGTATAGTTGATGTAGGTATTTCGATAACTTGATTATATTTCAACATTCCAAATAGTATATTTGTAGCTCAACACAAAAAGAGAGCGTTGTACACATTCTTTTCTAACTACAGTAAACTAAGCAAAGGACCCCGCACAGATCTTATGGAAAATGGCCCCCGGTTGAATTAGCCGAATAAGGCACACTATTATTGACGTTCGATCCCCCCGTATCTCAAAAAATGTTCAATTTACGAGCTTTTTGGGCCCATTGGAACTTTTCATCAAGACACAACGAACTACATCATGTCAAAAGTTCAGCTAATTTAACCGGGGGCCATTTTCCTTTATAATCATGTTCGGCCTCTACTATAAAATTGCCTCTATAATTAAGCCGATTCTCAAATTATCTAGACGTTAGATCCAGTGTTTCCCGCACAGATCTTATGGAAAATGGCCCCCGGTTGAATTAGCCGAATAAGGCACACTATTATTGACGTTTGATCCCCCCGTATCTCGGAAAATGTTCAATTTACGAGCTTTTTGGGCCCATTGGAACTTTTCATCAAGACACAACGAACTACATCATATCAAAAGTGCAGCTAATTTAACCGGGGGCCATTTTCCTTTATAATCATGTTCGGCCTCTACTATAAAATTGCCTCTATAATTAAGCCGATTCTCAAATTATCCAGACGTTAGATCCAGTGTTTCCGTATCTGCAGTTTCACATAATCAAATATGATCAAAGTAAAAAAAAAAAAAAACAATGTGGACAGCGGAGATGATTTTAATATTTTCAATCCATTTTTTCGGTGATGTATTATAGTATACACTGTTAGATCGACGTAGAAAGATTAATTTCTTTATGGCCAGAATATAACTCGATTTATTAAAACAAGTCTCACCGACGATAGACATTCTTCTGTTAATTCTTTCACAATGATACAATCGAATTATTTGATTCTACAAGCTACGAAACGTGTAAATGAAACGTCGGTAGATCTACTTCGTTGCAAAGTCACGATTGAATTACTGTGTTACTTTCAGTACGGGTACACATTTCCTCCGTAAGAAACGTTGTCCCTCCGAAAGTATAGGGAATATCGAGCATAAAATATTAAGGGTGGTTCGTTTTCGTTGATTAATGCGTGAGACTAGCGTTTCGGTGGCCTGTCATTTTCTTATAGACAGGATATTCTTGGTAATACGCAAGTGAAACCGTAATACTCGCCTGTCAATTGCCTCGTAGATGCACGTTCCTAGTTATCGCTACAAAGGGGAAGAACCGAATAGGAAATTACTCTGTCGGCCAGAATGTAAGTGTACTCTGTATAATTTTTAAGTGATTGACATTACAATGGGTTGACAAGCATTACCGATTCGGTAAAATGAAATTACTGGTCAGAGCCACGGTGAGGTAAATACCGTTTAAATATTTACCGTCACGCTTTATTTTTCGTCGTTTCATTCTATTATTGATTCACGTAAAACGTCTCGAACGTAGAAGTTGCAAAGCTATATATATAACTCTGTAACAGTGCGCGAAAGCAAGTAACAGCGATTTTCGATCTGTGTAAGACGAAATTTTCCATTGCTACGAATTATAGATATTTTATAATAATTTTCTGAATAATCATTTAGAGAACCAGTAGATTCGGTAGATTTGTGTCGAACATATTCGAAAAATAAGAAAATTGATGTTGTATGGGAGCAACAACAGCAGTTGATTTCTTGAATAATTATTTTGTTAATGAATTATCGTCCGGAGAAGTCAACGATGGTTAATCAGGCAAGTTTTATAATTTTCCCAACGCGTACGCATACGCATTTCAAATTTCTTAAGAAAAATTGGTCAATTTCTACCATTAACCTTCATGTATTGATTTAGTAATGTAAAATATTCATAAATTGAGAAAAACAATTACTTAACTTAAGTACATGTGAGTTGACTATGGAAGGGATTAAAATTCATTTCTGAATCTCTTGGTAACGTTGCGAATGACACGGAAATGGTCATTTCTCTTCTCATGGATGATGGTCAGTTGAGAAACTATTCATTGAATTGGCATTGATGTCTTACGCATACACTACAGCTGTCTGCCCATCAATGCTAATTCAATGAATAGTTTCTCAACTGACCGCCATCCATGAGAAGAGGCCGCTAAAATCAGTTCCGGATTTTCAGGTCGGTATGGCAGTCAGATTCGGCCGCGAAAGTCCATAATGTGAAAAGTCTACTCGTATACCTCGTCTGTGGTACTGTGTTTGATTTTTGTACGGGCACATATGTGGTACAGAGCCAAACAAGGTGTAGAATAAACGTTACATGCAATGGTTTTTCTGTCATACGGATCGAGACAGATATGAGGTATAGAATAAACTTATAGAATGATTTTTTCTGCCACACAGATTGGGGGCGCGCAAGCCCTTTACCATTTTCATGTCACTTTCAACGTTATCGGTTCACACTGGAATTTGAATTTAGCACACCTAGTGGTTCTAATTAAGATTAAATGTTGGGTGAATTCAATTATTTCGAAAGAAATCAAAACATTGGTGAATTGTGTATTATACATATATACATGCCCCCGAAATCCTACGCACTTTCGAGAAAACAATTCTTTACCGAAAATATAATGTGAGGCTAGAAATGTTTCCCCGAAATTTCATGCGATCGACGAGGTTCTCCAAACGAAAACAAGATTGAACCATGACATTTTCAAAATTTTTTTTTCATTATGATACTTTGTAACTACATAGGTCAGAAAGTAAAAATGCCTAGGCAGTCGAAATTCGAAATCGTATGCCGATTGTCGTGAGATGGAATTTCGGTTGTTACAAGAGCAAGAATTTCTTTCTCGATTACCCAAAGTTGCGCAGTGCCGAGCTCATGTATGTAGATATCTACATAGGGTCCTTACGGTAGCGCAAGTCTGATTTCCCTACCACTCCGTTAGACGCTAAGAAAGTTCGTCGTTACTAGTGTTACCGTCGATGCACTCAATTATATCAAATCTGGCCACAGTAATACACGCTTTCTTTCTCGACTTATCGTGAAGTTGCTCTGAACTCATATACTTACACGTATTCGTGTATTAGTGTGCGAGTGTGGCAATTTCCGACGAATTGAGACGCAGTCTGGCAGGCCGCGCATGCGTCGATTCGTTAGTCGCATCGTATAAGCAGAGCAACGGACGTGAAATTGTCAGAAGTTTAGGAGATAGTTTCGATCGTTCGAGAGAAACAATTGCAGCATATTGCGTCATGTGAGTAATCACGAAAATTTTTGTGAGAAACTGATTTACAGTTTCGAATAAATCTTGTTAACGTGTAAATTTTTTGAATCTTCAAGACCACTTGATGTGTTTGAAGGCGTGTGTAATTCATAGCTTACGTGATATATTTTTCCTCTTGATCAACGGGTGATTGTTAAATTTTCTCTTATTCGCAGATAAACAAGTTAACGAATATTGAAGATGCTGCTCGCAAGAGTGTGCCGAGCTGGTGCTTCACCAGCTTTGGCCAGTTTACTGAAAACCCCAGTTACTTCGAAACCGTTTATTCCAAGGATTCAATCTTCGAGATTGTTCGCTAGTGGTGGTCGTAATGCATTTACAAGAACTGCTCGACGATCTGCCACCGTTTCAGAGCAGGCGATGGCTCCTGCAGGAGAAACAGGTAAAGTTTTAAATTCAAAATTAATGATTATAGTATTGCATATAATGTGGTGCAATCGGAACCACAAATACAGGCATACTGGGTGTTCATTCTGTTATTGATAAGCATTATTTTTATAAGAAAAATATAGAAAAGCAAATCTTTTGACGGTTTTTTATAATGAATATAATGGTATCAATCAATTTTTTAAGTGTGTAATAAATCTCAAATTATGAACTTTTATAAATGGAAAATATATTTCACTATATGAAAGTTCCGTTGGAACAAATTCAATAATACATGGCGCTGTAATTTCCCAATTTATACATGATATAACGAGTGTCTTATTAAAGATCTGCAGAATGTTCTAGACAGAACCCGTGAATTAAGTTTAGTTAGATCTTAGTTAGGTTATTCAAATTTTTTGAATATAAATTTTAAGTAAAAAATGAAAAAGTTGAGTAAACAAATGCAGTAAATGAATATCATTTGCATAAAGTTTAATTTGGGTCGTGAAATGACATAGGAAAACGTTAGCAATGAATTAATCTGTACTCAAGTACTCAAAATCGATTCCACTTTTGTAGCGTTTAATATTGGAAAGGGCGCTGTTGCTGGTGGTGCTGTGGTAGGATTAGGTGCTTTATGCTATTATGGATTGGGTCTTTCATCGTCTACAGGAGCCATAGATCATGTGCAGTATGTTTCTTATTGAGCAGTATAGTGAAATTTTCATATCTTATTGTACTTTATAATAGATAGATACGTATAGTATATAGCACAATTATGTAAAATATGGAAGTTTCACTGTATTATAAAAGCAGATGTATTGCTAGCATCACAAATAGAAGCAAAAGTTAATAGAATATGTGACTCTTTATAGGATTTGGCCCCAATATGTGAGAGATAGGATTAAAACTACATACATGTATTTTGGTGCATCTGTAGCAGCTAGCGCTGCATCCGCAGCTGTATGTTTACGTTCGCCAGCTATTATGAACATGGTAATGCGCCAAGGGTGGCTTGCCCTAGGTGCAACCATGATAGCAATGATTGGTAGCGGAATAGCGGTACAGAGTATTCCCTATAAGGAAGGTTTTGGAACAAAACAAATGGCATGGCTAGTTCATACTAGTATTGTTGGCGCAGTCCTTGCACCTTTGTACTTATTAGGAGGACCATTGGTACTTAGAGCAGCATGGTATACTGCTGGTGTAGTTGGTGGTTTGTCAATGGTAGCTGTTTGCGCGCCGAGTGAAAAATTCTTAAAAATGGGAGGACCACTTGCAATTGGTTTAGGAGTTGTATTTGCAAGTTCTGTAGGATCAATGTTCTTACCGCCTACCACAATGCTTGGATCTGGTTTACATTCAATGGCTCTGTATGGTGGTTTATTGCTATTTTCTATGTTCCTTTTGTACGATACGCAAAGAATTGTCAAACAAGCACAAGTATATCCACAGTATACACTCGACATGAGGCCATATGACCCAATCAATAAGTGAGTAATTTATTAAGATTATGTATGACTTTAATGCAACTGAACGTACGAATTTATACGTATATTTGTATATTTTCAATTTCAGTGCGATTTCTATTTATTTGGATACGATGAATATCTTTGTCAGAATCCTCACAATATTGGCAGGTGGTGGAACTAATAGGCGAAAGTAAAGTTCTAAAAGCTTCTTTTTTTTTTTGGTAAAAATGACAAAATCAACAGTGATTTGGTATTGTTAATATAATAATGCGATAAATAAATATGTTTCACTGTAATTATATATTTTACATTGTAGATAATAGACAATGTAATGTAAATTATTAGTTATATTTAAAATAAAATGTAAAAATTAAAAGTATCTTCTGTACAGAAAATACCAGTTACAGTATTGTAACATTTCATTTTATACCCTTTTTAACACGTTCGTTACCACCATTCACTTGGAAAACCGTCAGTCATAGACCACGCTATAATTGTAGTAACTTAATCGGTATAGTGCATGCTCTTAATTAACTGCAAATAAAATATATTTAATAGACCAACTGAATATTTTGAATGTATTATTCCAGATAATATGACAATAACGGATAGTTTATACTATATTTGTTTATAGGAATATAAAATAGACAATCATTGCTATCATCCATATGTGATGTTCTGTTACAAGAATTTGCACGTTACGAATATGTTAATGCATGGTAGCGAACGTGTTAAATGTGTAAGGATAATGAAATAATACTTTAATTATTAGCGATAAAATTAAATGCATTTTATTGTCGTTTCTCAAGCACATTGTTTGAGAACAAAGTAAGACACAGCTGCTAAGGTAATCATAGATATTTTACAAATTTTATCTAATCGCTTAATTCTAAATTGAGGTACGGTGAAAGGGTTCATCGACGCGGTGCAAACGGTACTGTGCATAGTGTCGAGAGATCGTGTCGTAAACGAATGGAACTAACAATGTGTCATCTGCGGATTTTAACTATATTTTCTCAGTTTTTGATTTAAGACGCATTGTAAATTTCGTTTCATATTAAATATTAAAGAAATTTTCGGTTGAATAAATCACACAAATTTAGATCTACGCGAGACACGAAAGTATTTTCAAATGGATATTTACGAATGCTATTAAACTGTAGATAATTACATCGGTGTATATGTATACGTATTTGTATTTGCATGAACGCGCACGTCGGGAAGTTGATCAATCCTATTATGTTGAAATTGATCTTTTTTTTTTTTCAGAAAATAAACTTTTATTAAAAAATAACTAAACAACAGGCAGTAGAAATAAACATTTAAATAAATGTTATAAAAAATACGATTAGTAGTTTTTCAACGTTTCACTGCTATCAGAATTTTTCATTGAAAATACTTAAATAAGGAAGTATATGTCTAAAAAGGTTTAAAGCAAAATTAACGATTTTTCATAAACGTAAAATAGGAAGAGCACCTTAAAAAGGTATTATTCTCTTATTGCCTAATTTATCACTGATACATATTTTATCTGATATCATCTTCATTGTACAGAATGATTCTGGAAACTAGAACAAGCTACAGCTCGTTTATAAGCGAGGATACAAAAATTGATATAGAAAATAATACGAGGGACTATTTTTTGACAATATATGTAACTTTCTTTTAATGCAACAACGAAAATGCAATATAAGTAAGAAAATGCTTATAGACTGTAAAACCGGAAATTTTAAACACTAACAATACGAAAGATTCTGTAAAGTATTCTGTTTCGAATAGTTATAAAAATGTATAGTTCTGTTTAAAAAACAAATGCAAGTTTATGTGCATTGTAATGCACATTTTAGGTTCCAAAAAGAAATCATATCATCAAAAAACAATTTTCATTACGAGATTCAAGTTTTTCTCGTATCGATTATTTATATCTTCGTTTGAAAAAAGCTACTACTCGTTATAGTTTCTCGAATTATCCCATATAAATGTATTTCGATTCATTTTTCCGATTTAAAAAACATATTTTGGACTTACTTCTTTATAATTTGACTTGATCAGTAAAATGTATTTGAAGGTCATTAGTTTCACATTCCATATTACATGGTATCAGTAGTTAGATTCGGGCATTAGAGGTTATACGTTTACGGAGTCTGATTTCATGGCTGATGATGAAGAATGTCGTCTAAGGTAACCAGCGAACAGTTGCCTTGCCTGATTGAGCACCCGAACAACATTGTGTCGACGGACCATTTTATCGAAATGCATGGCCATTTCGTTATAATCCATTTGATTACGCATAACAAAGTCTCTGTGTTGAAGCAGAAGAGTAATGCACAGGAACATAAGGAACGGGTTTCCACCGCCGAATTCGTTAGGCGGAGGCAGAGAACTTTCTCCCAATTGATCTTCACTAGTGCCCGCTGGAATAAGATTCATAAGTTCTGTAGCTTCTTTGCAGTGTTCTTGTATAGATTGCTTAGTTGGGCTTTCGAGTACAGCTGCATTCTGATGCCAACTCTTCGATTCCTCGCTATCTGACGCGGATTCGGATCTGCATGACGTAAATTTACAAAAAAAAAACAATTTTATTTTAACAATAACAGTTCATGCTTACATTGAAACAAAGACTTCTTGTAATGAAGCGCTTTCAACTCTATGGTTGAAGTCTCCTTCGGTATATCAGTGTAGGAATTTTAAAAATATAAATGTTTTATTTAGTTAAATATAGTAGTAAAAATGAGATAACCCAACTTTTTGCGTGTTGTACTTAGAAGGTTGCAGCAAAGAGTCGATAACGTTTTATCAAAATACTTGATTCAACTTACAAACCAAAAAACTTTTAATTTGATTTTAAACTATATAATTTTTGCTGGTATACAAGTAGCCCTTACCTAGTAGCACGTTTTAGCAGTCTAATGGGGGTGACAGATTTGACACCATTCTGGTCCTCCATTATTTCCCCATCATATTCAAGCTCTGCTTGTTCATCGGGAGTAGCTGGATGATTTTTATGTTGCAATGTATGAAGGGGATTCTCCCAGACAAACACATCCGCAGCTGGACTACATCTTGCTAATTCTGTATCCGTTTCGCTCTCGATTAGTTCACTGTCTCTTTTGGAAAGAACACAATCGCATTGCTGATCGCTGGGTGGCGATGGCCCGAAGACTTGTCGATCGAGTGATTCTACCTCCAGTCTTAATTCTCTAGTCATTGAAGTAGTCATTGGAAAGAAATCTGTTGCATCGTCCGGAGAATTTGGTTCATCTCTCAACACTCTAATAACTCCGCTTTCGCTCAGAACTCGCCTGAAGAAAATATAATTCTTAATCAAAACTTTCATTTAGTTCATTATGAAAATTTACAGAAATAAGGATATAACTGACTTAAATCGTTACTTATTTGGTGAATAGAATTTTCATAATAGTCCCAGTAAAATTTTGATTTAATGAATTAATTTGCGTTCTACAATTCGTAAAGTAGTGTTTGGACAAAATTCAACACTCGTTAAATAATAAATTCGTATTTGTATTAAAAATGATATAAATTTAGCTATATGCAAGTAAAATATATATTTAACAATATACAATATACATATTTGGTAATAGATTGTGTGGACGAACCCGATGTGAAATCGGGGAACCACCAGGTCACAAGAATTCATATTTGGATATTCAAAAAGTAGCAAACAAACCTGATACGAAATCAAGGAGCCGCAGAAAATAGTTGACCTCGTAACTTTAAATTAAAAAATATAATATAACTCGAGTGGTAAAATTATATTACTGTGGATTTGTCTAACTATAATCGTTTAATATAATAATGGGTTTAAGAAACGGAGCAACTCTGTTTAATAATAAACACTATGTATATATTCATAAAGAAACATATAGACTCAAATACTTTTGTCACAGAATAATTGAACATGGATCCCATTAATTTGTTTACATGTTATACATGACAATTTATCATAATAACAATAGTTATAGTTTTAAACTACAATAAATAATGTTTTGTAAAACAAAAAATTTTTTTAGCGTCCGAATACTTTTGGGAGTAACTGTACATATACTTGTAAACTAACCTCAATTCTGGTTCCGTATCACTTGGTGTTACTTTGTTACGATTGAGACTTGTGAAATTCAAAAATTCATTTAAATTTTTTACCACTCGAGCGCACTTTTTTTCATTATCGTTTTGTTCATTAGTTTTACTTTGGTCTTTATTGGGTAACGATAGTCTATCTTTCAATTCCAGTAAGTTTACACGTTTAGATTTACCAGGCAGAGAACCTGTACTTAGGCACTTTTCCGTGGATTCTGTGTTTCTTCGATTCTTCACCGTTGTTAAATCATTTTCTGGCTCAGAGAATGTTTCAAAAGGAGAACTTGATCTGCAAGCAACGATTTTCATTTCTACATTATCATTTTTATTTCAATACTTTTATTGTATCGAGAAGTACCTTTTTGAATCTCCGTTTGTTTCCGCGGAAGATTGTAAAGACAGTTCCTCTATATTCAGATTTTTTCTTTTCGCGGTAGCGGCAATACTAGCGGAAGAACTTTGTCGCCTAATAGCACAGACCTTTGTATACGCATTTTCACGAATGTGCTTTACGTTTGGACTTGGAGGTGGCGAAGGTGGAGGAAAAGGTACTTCAGTGAGATTAAGTTCTCCATTTGGTGGTGACGCTGGTAGTGCAGCCCATAATACTTCGAGCATCCTTAAAGCATCATCCAAAGCAAATTCTCGTTTCATTTCTAATAAAAGCCATCGATAACAAAATAACAGATCATCCGCTTGATGTGATTTTAGATAAGCATAGAAGTCAGGATCATAGTGTTGCAAACCTGGGTAAAAATGTCATAACCGTTATACTACACTCAAATTGTACATACAGTAGAACTCCCGTAGCCACGAGAGACCACTTTTCTATTGATAGCTAAAACCGCGAATAATAACGGTAATAATTCATATATTGTACATACATATGTATACAGGGTGAGGCACTTAAGATCGGCCACCTGAATAACTTAAATAAATTTTGAAGAGTCAGTTAAATATACGATCTGATGTTAGCTAATTTTGTTAAACCAAGGCTAACGGATGTTCTACTGTAGTTAATATTAAAAATTTCGCAGTATTCATTTTTTTAGAACAGTACACTGTTCAAAACAATAAAAGGACAGTATATTTAAATCGAGCATAAAAAATTAGGCATTCCATGTATTAAATTTTACGTACCTTCCGCTAAATGGGCAAACTTAGTAGTCATTGCAATCCCATCGAGCATAAAATTATCCTTTAATCTTCTCATAAGTGCACACAAGCATATGTATGCCTGCGCTTCGTCTCTCATAGTAACCAGAAGAGGCGAAGCTAAGTCGCTCATACCTTGACAATAGCTGACGCTAGGATGGTTTAAGGCGTACGTTGTTAGTATGTTGAACAAGCTGGCCGTGTTCTGATTATCGTCAGAACCACCGTAAAACTTGTGATGTCTGTCCGTTCTCAGAACGTCTTTCCGCACCATGCTCGTGACGTATCCCAAATCGCCGATATTCTGTCCCTTTTGCACAAGTGTTTTCCATCTTTCGCGGAGATTTTGATATTCCTGCGATTTCTTTTTCATGTAGTCCATTCTCTCGCGACCCGACATACCTTCAGGGTATACATTTAAAATGTGCTTCCAAACCACTTTACGCAAGCTGGGCTCGATTCCACCGAAATATATGACGGCCCGCAGTTCTTTAGGGTGTATCACTTGTCCGATGGGGTCCAGAAATCGTCGAAATTCCGCGTCTGTCAATGGCAATCGCGGTGGTTGGATGCTTTGTTGATGGGATGATTCCTCGCCCAAGTTACCCAGAGCACGCTGAACTATACTCAGCGTCCTCTCCATCTACAACAAATATATCCTGATTTACAACATTTGGCTATTTCTTGTATATGCTGTGCTTCTTCAAGGTCACAATTATGAATCTTTGTTCCCTAAATGTATACTTAATATGAAATGTTTATTGTATATTTAAAAACAGTTCAACAACTGTACGCGTTGTGGCGCTACTTTATTTAAAAGGAAAGGAGGGGGCGCGTTTCGTCCGGGCCTGCTAGCGGACTCGTCGGTAAGGCTTTCTCTAGCAGGCCCTGCCTTACACGACTGGGATATTGGAAAGTCGGTCGAGGATTGCATATGTAGCAACCGAGAGGCCGGTCGAGCGCTTGTGAGAGTGCGATCCCTCTGGCGGCGAGCGTGGTGGAGGCGACGCCACAGCGTATTTAACAAATTTCAAAAATCGTATTTTTTCGAAATCGATGAAATTAAAGGAACATAACAACCAATAAATGCTAGAGTTTTTTAGAGATTAGAGATTTAAGAGTTTTTATCTACCAAGAACAAAGCTCTTACCAAACTTCCAAATAAGAGATTGATATTTATTACCACTTACAGATATTGTGTAAGTAGTCCAAGACACATCCATTTCACCATCTAAATATTTTTCTATCGCTTACTCAAGAGTATGCAAACTTTATATTCAGTTAGAGTGAAACTTGCGGTGAAGATAGCAGCCGCGTAACGTCAGAAACAATTGTAGGTAAACTGAGGAAGTAACAGTAACCACCTTATTCATGATGAGGCCAGGTAACTTGGGCGTCCTGTACGGAAACCCTGTTTCTTGTCGTGTCGATGCTTCCTGTGCATTCTGTTCCCAGTAACATTCACAGTCGCCAGTTTCTCCGAAAGGTTTCAGGTTGACCTGAAGGTACAGATACGGCTCGGAAGCGCTAGAACAACCCGTTTATCGGTCAACGCTGCGGAGTCATATCGTACATTATCGTAATATCAATAAGCTTATCGTCATTCACTAATATTTCCATTTAAGATTTATCCAAGATATTATTTTTAATTATTTATATCTTTATATCCAATCTTGTTATACAATTATATAGTATTTTCTGTATATTTGTTATTAGACGTTACTTTTAGACACCTTGTGCTTTACTTTTTCATTGTCATTATCCTAAATACTGTTTATGTTTTGAAAGTTATTAGGCCGATCAAAAATAGGATATGCGTGTATGTATGATCGTAAGATTTTCCCTGGGAAAAAATTTTTTTTTCAAAGAATGGCAATTTGTTGATTGAAGCTTCGTTAAAAAGTTATTAACGTTTAAAGTTCCGTCTGTAGAACGGCAATCAAAACTATAAGGCTGTCGATAAGCAGAGTTTCTTATGCTGAGGGGGAACCACTATCGCATGCGCGCAGCTGTTCGCAGATTGCCGTTCTACAGGCGAAACTTTAAACGTTAGTAACTTTTTAACGAAGTCTCAATCAACAAATTGGTATTCTTGATTTTCATCTTATTTTGGCCTCTGAAATCTCTCATTAAAATTGTTCCCAAAGGTGGCCAAACACCCTGTATACATACAATATTGTTCGATTATTTATCAAAAAGGTAGTCGTTTAAAACTTTTGTCCGCTCTGTGCACGACTTCATTGATTTCTGGATGGTTTAATTGTAATAATTGATCGAATGTTTACCTGATAAACGCTGCATCCAAGTCCCAGTCGGAAAGCAGAAATAAATAAGTTTCTGATCCATAGTCGTCTAGTGCTCGATACGAAACGGTGAACTCCCTGCGAAAATCCGATAGTATTAAAATAAGACACGAGACTTAGCCATTCCACGTCAAATCGATCAGTTTTTCCTATCTGTGGATCAGTCGCATCGGCCGGGATAAAATTATTATGCGGAGGGAGGTCGTGCGCGGTGTTCCGCAGGGGTCAGTTCTGGGGCCCCTGCTATGGAACATCGGGTACGACTCGGCCCTGTGGGCCCTGCTGCCACCTGGCATGTTACTCTGACGACACGCTAGCGCCATTATCGCCGCCGAAATCCGCAGGTTGGGCATAGAGGTGGCACCCCAGAAAACGAAGGTTATGTTTTTTCAAAAATTGAAGATAAGAATCCCACACACCCCTCCCGCCTCTCCCCAAAGAGGTGGGAGGGAGTCTTTAGAAGATTTTCCCCACGAAAAAAAAAAAAAGTAGCTGCTGCTTTAGGATAATATCGAGGGACCAGAGGTTAGGGTTCGCCACCTCTATACCATAGTTTTATTGTTTCCATGAATTGTTAAACGAAAGAACATCAGTAAAATTCACCAATTTTACAATATTGCCAACAGTGTACGATTTTTACTGACAGGATAGTTCTACACGTAGTGACTATTTTCATTTATTATACTAACAATTACTGAAAGTTTCGTTCTAATATTTAAAACTAATATTGAACTATATGAAAATTCATTATAAATGACAGTCACTGTATATGTATATTATCCTAATCTCGTTGGACAGGTAATACGTGTTTCAACAGTTTTACAGATAAAAAGCTAAGTGCTGTATTTTCAAATCAAACAAATCTGAAGCAACGTGCACTGTTCGCTAATGTATATTGTATACACGACGATTACTCGAGTTTAACAATATAATATGTATAACTATCTCACCCTTTGATGTCGAACGCTTTGATAAGTATACTTTGAAGCACTTCGATAGATGTTATCTGCGGGTCCACGCTGAACTTGCGATACTCGGGCTGATGCCTGGTCTCGCATTTCTAAAGATAAACGAAATTCAGTGTTTGTTGGGCATTAACTTTTATCTTTAAGTGTGATGCGTTTTAAAATTTATTATATATTTAATATGTAACATACAATTATATATTCGGATTAACAAATACATTAGTACGTTTTACTAAACATATCAAATCGAAAGAGGGGGTAACCAGCGCGGGAGCAACGTATGTGGTGCCAACACAATATAATAAAACGTTGCCAACCTAAACTATCTTTAATAGTCACGAGTGATTCAAAAGTAGCAGTTCACGCCATCTCTCTTATGGGCAAATGAAATTTCTTTTGGTTCAAATATATCCGAACAAAATGGCAGGATTAACGTGTTTCCAATCCATCGCTAGACAGAAGTCCTAACCTGGAAGCCCAACGGAATAAAATCATCGTTACGAAAGACTGAAAATTGATGTAATATCATTGCATTCCTTTTATATAAGGTGACGATTCTATTGTAACACGCATTTATGTAATCGTGCACACTTTCTTTTTTAACCGGTAGAATAAATAGATTCGCTTTCTTGTACAATTAGTAGACGAACGACCGGTCGGTAAAACATTATAACCCTTTCTGTCCCAACGATTTCATGACATCGCCAACTTTAAATCACACAACTTCGCGTATAACCATAATTATTTTATTTGTCACCTCTGAGATTGAAAATATGATAAATGGTGTGACATTTGACAATTAAAGTCGTTTTTATTCATTGCGAGTCATTAATTGTGTTATTATGACAGCGAAAAAGATGTCGGTGAAATAACTTATATTACTTCGCTGCATATACAGTGTCTTCTTTGTTTCCTTTCTATAATCTCATAGCGATAAAAATGTTGTTCTATTTTAAGAAATGACAATGACTTTGAAACTTTGAAAAATTAAGCTCGAGGACAATTTTTTGTTTTTTGTCAAAAGTAAATTATTTAAGTAATTCTTATTGTATTAGCCCGTAGTTAATATATTAACCTGTACAACACGCCGTACATCAACGCAAACGGGTCTATTGAATTTCACCGCGATTTTCCAACATAGAAACTCCGGCCTTGAAATGTTTGAAGAGTGAACACGAACGTCGAAATTTTTTTAATTCTAAGTCGCGTTCTCGAGGATTCCGTGCAGCAACTCCGAGACTCGTCGTGTATGAATATTGCATTCAAACAGAAACGGCAAATTGAATTGATGCATATTATAGTCGTATAAAGTGGTTTGATGGACGTCAGAATGCGTTCAGAGTAACGATTCAATGCCTCCATGTTTTGATACATATGCGATTGCAAAAATAGATAACGATAAAAAAAAATATTGAACTAATTACGAATTTATTTAAAGCAGACAATCTGATAAAATTCATCTATGACAAAATGTTTACAAAATTTTAGGCTTTCAAAATGCAAACAAAATTTCTGTAAAAAAAAAAGACCGTTTAGCTTGGTGTTACAAATACATATACAAAAATACAATAAATTCATACAATAAATTCATACAACAAATTCAGAATCTTTAATATTTCACAAATTAGCAAGTAAATGATCAAAGCAATATAAAAACTTTAAAAAGCATTAGCATCTCAAATTAGAACTACGGTACACATAAAATCGAGGTTAAGTCACTACATTGATTATATAAACGTTCCTCTAATTATAATCGTTTCGATCCTAATTAAAAGTATCGTTCTAGTAACATTTTTATTCGAAATTTCTACGAATTTGTTAATTAACGATGTTTCGATTTTCGATAAACTTTAATGTAGAGAAATTTCATGTAGGTACTCGAAACACGAGAAAGATTTATTACAACTTTTCCTAAAATGATATCAGTGAAAGCAATCGTAAGAAACTTTTAAACTTATTAACAATTACCAATCAAATATTTTAAAATTACAACATTCGTTTCCCTACGGAGTATTATAAGGAATCATAATCATAATTAGTCATAAATCACCGAAAGTGTTTTTATATTTATTTTTTTAACAAGAAACGTTTTTAAATATTCGTTTAACTTTGAATTTTATTAAAACGTAATAACGGTGTTTGTCTATTCCTATAAAATCGAGTATAGATTCAATAAGGTATATTTTATGAGTCACGAAATTCGTTGCCGTGTGAACGATGCTTACGGTATGTTTGCATTTCGATATTGGCGACTGAAAGAGTCGCAAAAACAAATGAAATTTGATGTTTTAACGATGTCAAAGAATGTTTATCGTTCGCAGTCGAGCAAACTGGGTAATCTAATATTTGTTTAAACTGCATTGGCGAATATCAAATATGGATGCTCGCAAGTGGGTATGCTATGCGAAATTGGACATTTCTACCGCAGTACTGCATGAATATTTGTAAAGAGACGGGTGAAACGTCTATTACATTTTTACAAAACGTTGATTATCGCAATTATAAAATATATTGTATTTTTAAAACTTTAGTTGTTTGATAAATATTTCAAATCACGAAGAATCATAAAAATGAAATTCACTCAGGCATCGGGAGATTTACTTTAGTTCGCGAAGTATGAACTTGACATAATTTACCATAGAGTGCACTTCGAGCAGTGTCGCATTGAAAATTCAAATTATGTTCTACCGGTATTTTATTTTTCAGACCTAAAATAAAAAACAACTAAGTACTCTCTGAAAGTACATACCTAAAAAACCATTCGATATCTAAGGATAGCGCATATAATATAGAAAGCGGTAAGCAATTAATCGAACTTTACAGGCATAAAACTTTATCAAAAATGTTTCAAACTTTATACATTCAATCGAGATTATTACTACGTGACTTTCTACGCGTTTCCCTAATGATCAATCGAACTCATTATCTCAATTTCATAAAAACCAAAAATTTCGTAATTTCCGAAATCTCTTCAAACAATATTTTTGCAAATTCATCGTTTAAAAAAAATTATAATCTGTTGATGAAAAATTAAGGAAATTGATAGTATGCGATAAAATTAGAAGTTTTTCTATATTTTCTTTATCTATGAACTTTTGCATCGTTATGTAACAGTGACTCATTTGATGACTAATGCATGTTATTTTGTTGACATTGTTAAATGTAATTTTTTTAATTTGTTGCAATTATTTCTGCTGCGCCTGCTATTTTAGGTTTGAAGAAGCTAGAGAAAATATATTGGATATGATATAGGTTTTATTTGTTCTCCTTTATTGAGTTATTGTTCAGATATTATCCTGACAAATTTCATATAACTTAATCCATTCAATAATATAAACAATAATACTTTTTGATCGAATCTTGTTTGTTTCCCTGAAATAACACTATACCTACTTACATATATTTGTTTAAGATTTTAATTACCACCTGATTGATATAATCCTCTTATCTATTTAATCAATTTTGGCCAACTTTGACAAGTAAGACTATACTTGTACAGATTAACACTTTATTTACAAAGATATTTTTTAAAATTATACTATTTCCAATTTCTTTCAGACTTCACTTTGGCTCAATTTCTAATGGCACATTATGAGCTTCATTGTTTTTCTAACATTACTGTTCAATGGACATATAAATATCTAGTTTCAATGTGTACAAAAATATTAATTAAACATGTCTATTATTCATAATCTGACACAGACAACGTTAAATTGCAACTCTTTCCTTTTCAAAATGTTGCGTAACAATTGACAAATACGTTTCGTTTACATTATAGTAAAATTTGAATTTTAACATTTTCGAAAAAGGTGAAACGGTAAAACGACTGTACCTTCACTTTGACACGCACAGCCTCTCTGGGACATCCGAACATGTTTGACGTTGATATGCAGATTCTTTCATGCGCTGGAAAAGTCCATTTGATAATTCAGGACAACTTCGAATCCCTTAAAAAAATCTGCACCTCTTCAGGAACGTTCTCGTTGCATTGAACAAAACTTAACATTTTCACGCTTAACACTAAACAGTTCTGCTAGGTTAATTTGTTTCACGCGGCGTAAACGAATCCGACTTGCGAGCTTTCGTTTCTCTCCGCGAGGAGCATTCTCTTTCACAAAGGCACTGCACCGCGAACTGCGTTTCTCGAAGGAATCGAAGTAACCGAGTACACAGCAGCTGACACTTCGCGTCGATTCAAACAATCATTCACAGCGATAAAATGGTCGATTTCTTAACGGCTATTGTCGGTGGCGCATTCAAAACGATATGAGACGATTGTTTCGCGCTCTCCTCGAAGTTTCACCATACACATCCGCTGTCACTGCGAGATTGTCGGCACTCGGAAATCCACTTTCGATCTTCTGTATTGCGGGTCTCTTTCTTTCATGGCAAGCACCAATAACAGAAGAGACAGAGGGAAGAATTGAAAATGTGACAGGCGAAACGAAGATAGATAGAATTGCTCGAAAAAAATTGGCGTCACCTTCTAGCGTGAGCAAAAAGAGAAAGAGCAAGAATGAGAAAAGGAAGCGACTTGAAGTGAGTCGCGTTTGGCGCTAGTCTATCTCGTTGTCAGGCGTATCGATTAATCTTGAATCTTGCTCATCACATGGACGTTCGATACTCGATATATTTTTATCGAATATTCGTTCGAGAGTTTGTAATTTAATACGAATTACGAATATTGGTTTAATACTGATCATAGAGTTCATCCTCCAATGTCACTAATTATTTTGCAGAACGGTCGTCTTTAATCGAATGATATCTGTCTTTCCAAAAACACTAATTTCGAAATACTACGATCACTGACGAGGTATAGATGTATATAGGGTATGCGGCCACCCCTGGGAAAAATTTTAATGGAAGATTCTAGAGGCTAGAATAAGAGGAAAATCAAGAATATCAATTTCTTGATTGAGACTTCGTTAAAAAGTTATTAAAAAATTTCAAATCATTCTGAAAAAATTATTTTTGATTGCGGGGGTCAATTATAATCATTTTTGGTGAATAGACCTACCCCCGAAATCCTACGCACTTTCGAGAAAAAAATTCCTGACCGAAAGTCTAATGTGAGGCCAGAAATGCACCCCCGGAACATGCAAATCTTTAAAATGTCATAACTTCTGAACGAATTGGGGGATTTTAATGTTCCAAACGGCAAACAACGCGTATTTTGGTGAAGAATATGTGGAAATTTCAAAAATATTTGAAAAATTATTCCTTGACTCCGCATAATGAGAAAAACTCCATAAAAATGGTCCTAATACTATATTTCATCAATGAGTAGATGCAGAGAATTAAAGGGAAAGATTAATTAAATTTGGATTCGCTTATTTCATTCGATAATGACGAATACCTCCGTGCAGGCCCCTCTTTTTATCAGACCCTAGGTACGTGTCTATTTTGCCTAGTGGTAAATGTGGCCCTGTTTTCCACCATTTTCATTACCAACAAAGGTGTACTCTCAATTTTATAAGTAACTGTATGTGTACACAAACATATCTCTAAAATGAATTTTGTAAATTAACTACAATTCATCGAAATTTTAGAAACGAATCAGTTAAATACAGCACCTATGCAGACTTAACTATTTAAATAATTGATAGAAATGCTAGAAAGTTCATAAATTTACAAAAGCTTTATTTTTCGAATAGATAGTAAATTTAATACATAAAATTATTTGGAATTCATTATAAAATAAAAAATTGTGTCGATATTGTTTTGTAAAAGATACCTGAAATGCAATGATATTAAATGTATAAACTTTATATTTTACGTCAATAGAGAAATTAACGTAAATTTCTGAAAAAATATTTTTAATACTGCACTTTGTATTGTAAACATATTGATTTAATATCAATGGTTTTATATTAGTCATTTTAAATTACATAAAATACTTAATTTAAAAACTATATCCTATTCGTAACTTTTTCCTTGAATTATATTTTAACCACTTTTTTATAATTAAATATAAATTTTGTAATTAAGTTATTTTGAGATCATTAATATGAATAATTACTTAAGCAGTCTATATTATAAAAAGAATTAAACTTTTACTGTATTTTAATTAATAAGGAAAACTTTTAACGTAAGAAAGTGATTTCTTATATTTTTCATTATTAAAATATATATAAAACTATCATTGTAACTTTTAATTTTTAATCTTGCTATAATATGTAATGTTATTCCGTATTGTGATGTATATATGTTATTAAAACTATTCCAAATTCTTATATTATTGACATAATATGTACATATAGTTTACAATAACATTAACATCCTATCAACGGTTTAATTATACTTAATGATAGAAACTTATTCTTAATACATATCAGACCATGGACATTTAATTGCTGTAAAAAGTATGAAAAAATTATACTAAATAACATTTATCAAACTTTTTAAATGCATTATCCTTTCTCTAAGGTTTATATTCTTGTCACAGAATAAAAACCAATTTATTACAAGTCATGAGAAATGTACAATCCTTTATTATAAATATCTATTGCATTAGCACTCAAATTCTACTTATATTTATCACTTTATTCCTCACATTGCCACCATGTCTACTCTTTAATAACAATGCTCTTACAATATTTGATCTGATTAGAAGTTATCACAATAAAAATAAGCCTATATATTTATTAAGACTGTTTCTCAAATGCTAGTTAAGTGGAATTTTTTAATGAAATATGTGTCTGGTATACATTACACATAAAGCTAACTTTTCGGTAAGCCTGGGTTTAAACACAGATTTAAGCCCCTATTAAGTTACTCTAATAAATTAATATTAGATCTGCATCTGCTGACTTTAAGTTATATATACACGTGGAATTTTAATAATTTTCTGTAGATAGAAGTATTTTACCTAACACAGAGGAACTTATTTATCTAACACAGATAAGACTAATAGGTAAATAAAGCAATATCGAAGACATAACGGTCCTTGAATATAAAGATCATTAAAAAAATAAGTTGTTCCAATTGCTTTATAAATTTTTTAATATATTTTGTGTGATATGCTATTAATAGAGCATCATAGAGCATGATCATACAATAAAATAATTTCTGAACATTATTAATTTTTTAAATACGTACAATAAAATATTGTAAAAATAATGGACATTCGTGTATTTCCAACTGTTGGAATTGTAATATTTAATTTCTATTTTACTCGGTGTTTTTATATATTTATAATATATCCCACAGAATATGTTTATTATATAAAGAAAAATTACTGTATTTCGATTTCATTTAATATCTAATTAAAACATCGATATTCCAATAATTTCATTTATTTCAATTCATATTTTGAATATAAAATCACAAATATAGTACATACAAAATAAGTACAAAAAAAGATATTTGAAACTATATTCGAACACAAATTTGTAAGTCCCTCTGTGTGAGTAACAATTAATACCTTTTTAAATTATTAAATATTTTTGCCGTTTTTAAAATATTTTATGCCCAATAAGTATTGCAAGCAAAACAACTGAATATATTACAGAAAAACTCGTACTGCTTGAAAATATCGCCGACCATTTCTTAAAGTAAGAGTATATAAAGCCAACAATCATTTACGCTAATAGAAATTGTTATCTAAACATGTAGCATTCTTTAGCGAAAAAAAAAAATTAGCAGGTTATACATTTTTCAATGACATATTTGTTATTATTAATTTTGTTATATTTTCGAAAGACATGGCACTATATACATATGTCTAAATAATGTCGTTACATTTGAAATATGTTTGTCAGAAACTTTTAATAATACTCACTCAAATGTCTAAACAGTATCAAAGCTTGAATTATTGACATAAAAAAAAAATAAATAGGAACATAATTTAAATAAATCATACATCTATTTAAAACAATATCATAGACTATGATCACAAATGACAAATTTGTTTCACAGTAATGTGTTTACACCAGTTTCAAAGAAAGTTGCACTCCATATTTTAATAGATTAGAATCTTATTAGAATAAAATATAGATCAGATATATTTTTAAAGAATCTTTGTATAGTACGAGCTTTTTTTTGCATTTGTTCCTTTTTTCTAACAGTATCGTTAAAAAGTGTAAGAAATATTAATGTATTGAAGATTGTATACATTCATATATGTTGTATCACAAATTTAGATTATAGAAATTCTGTTTCTTAATGTGTTCATTTACACATTCTAATGTATACAAAATTTCAAATTTGTATTTCCCCGAATAAACTTTGATTTTTTTCTAGTATCTTGAATTATTCTATTTAATTTCAAATTGGACAATGTCAAAGTTTAAAAATAAATAATACAGAAACTTTGTAAGGGAACTATTTTCATGATTTCACTGTAAAAGAATTTAAAATAATTCTGTTCAGAAATGAAATGTAAGCTGATAAGATCTTATTATGACAAAAATCTCGTTAGAATACCAATATTAATCTTTATCGATAGAAACATCCTTTATGATATCATCTTTACTGATGTTTTGGTTCATTTGATCATTTTCATATTCAACAAAATCATCAAGTAAACTTGGCCATGCTTCTGAATCGTCATAGGCACCAAGATCATCGCCGATACTTTCAGCAAAATTCAAAAACATATTCCATGTATCTCTAGGTATGCCTCGCACATGATGGCACTCAAGAAATTTAAGCCACCTAGATAAAAGAGGTGGTTCGCGTAATGTAAAAACAAGCTTCCATAGAACAATTGCCATGTTAGCTGGTAATATTCTTTGTCCGGAATTAACGTCCAAGCCGAACCGGAACGTAAATCGGTAGAGATCTTTGAATAAATCACTATTTACGGCTAACTCTTGAACAATTTCTGGCAATCTTGCTTGTATAGCACGTATACTGTCTACTTTCATTGCTTTCAAACCTGTCATAAATTCTTGACGTGTAAATTGGCACATCTGTTCAGCGTTTAGTTTCCACGCGAGAACAAGTACTTGAAATTCGTCTGGTGATAGTTGTAAATTATTGCAAAGTCTTTCTATGCCATCAGCTAAAATTACATCTTCATGTGGATCCTATAATTATAAATTTAGTATTAGATATTTAGTCTTAATTCTAGTCTAAATAGACATACTCATTATTTTATTCTTTTCATGTAAAAGTTATTTAAAGAGGAATCAAAGTACTTTAAACTTTAATGCAATAAAATAGAAAATTAAAAGTAACACTTACTTTATATTGGTCAAATAAAATATTCAACTTGCTCTCTGATGGTTCTCTTTGTTGTTTTGATTCAATCGTTACATTAAGACCAGACGATGATCCAGATCTACTTAATGGTGGTAAACGTGTGTAAAATCCTCTTGATAAACGTAAATTATTTTGTACACTAGGCACAGATCCACAATTATCAGATCCTACAGTGTTGAACGTTGATAATGTGCCCATTGATTTTCTATTTCCATTTATATGCGGTTCGGGCGCTAAAGGCCCAGTTTGTTGGCAAGAATTTGGGAACAAACCCCTAAGTTCCATTGTTTCTATAACCATTATAATTACAATTATACATAATATTATCATGAATATTGCATAAAATGTATAATTATAATTAATGTTTGTTAAACCTTATTTGATATAAACAGAAATATAATCAAACAGAACACAAAATTAAGAAAAACATTTATGTTTCTTTACTGTAGAATATAGTAAAATTCCAATTATACAAAGTCAGCGAAAAATTAATTTTCCTTAATAACAAAATTCCTAATTAATCGGAAAAGTTACAAAAAAAAAACTGAAGTTTAATGGCAATACATGCACATTAAGAAATTATGAATCAAATAAAATGTATTGTATATTATCCATGTTGCAAAATGTTAGAAAAATATCTATTGAGACAACATGTCTGCACTTTTTAATATAGAATTGCAACAGCACAATTGCACTGTTTGGCATTTAAACAATTAAACAAAATGTTATAATATAAAAATAGTTGTTTTTTTTGTGTAATATAAAATAAAAATTTGATAGTATTATTTCCTTGACAAGAGCAACATAGCCCCTTGTGTTGGCTCTAATTATGAAGCCTAGTTATCTATAATTCATACAATCCACCTTTGGTTAATATAAATTATATTATATAAAGCTCTTACTGTTACATGAAATAAATATGGCATAATATGATAATAAAAAAATTTAAAAATAATGTAACCTGTTACTGAATGGTAATCTAAATGATTACTATAATGATTACCGTCTTTATGTTCCAATGACAGGGATTGATTGTTGGTGGCTGGTGGAAGAGGCACCTTAAAGCACGAAAAACAGTTTCCCATTGATGCTGTCCGTACTTAACATTAAAAACAATTATCCCATGCATCAGTAATTCAGTCTTACATTGGCAGTCTTAATCAGAAGCTAAACAATATAATTTAAGAATATAATTAGTTATGCACAATTATGAGATTTTTATAAATAATTATAAAAAAATTTATAGAACGAAGTAATTGAAAGGTATTTAATAATATAGAAAGATTAGAAACAATAACGCTGATGTAAAATGTTTAGTAAATGAATTTTTACCTTATTGTTAAGGCGGATTTTCGGTCTACCTGGGTCGTGATAACCCCAGTAAAGACCCTCCGCAAGATATCTTGCTTTGTCCACATTTATAAATTCTCGAATATTAGAAAAACTTAGACTTTGATTTGTTGCGGTTAGAATTAAGAAGACGCTTCGATCTCAAACCTTTTGGACATTTCTTTTACATGACTTTCAGGTTCAATTTGTGTGTGACTAAATGCTACTGTCATTTGTAGCTACATAACCTCATAAAATGATAAAACAATACTATCATTCCATGAACAAAACATTTATTCGTTTCAATTTATTTGGATGCAAATCATCGAAACTTTTGCATTTAAAAACACTAATAAAGATATATTCTTCGTATTTTAATACGTAATAAACAAAAATCCCTTTGTAAAGAAGCAATAATACTACCTCTATCGTAAATTCAGTATTGATACACTAGAAAAATAATAATCACTAGTGAATATATTGCAGATAAAACAGTAAATTTACACAAAGAAAAATACACTTCGTGCTGTTACATTGTACGTTCGGCCCATCATTTTAATTTACAAATTGTTGATGTTCTATTTACGAACGTCTATGCAAAATTTGATCGCCTTCTCCCAAATATCGGGGGGGGGGCTCAATGTTGGCACCACTGACCTGGTGCTGATCTGGCATTCCTGCTCTGGACTAGTGCTCAGTCTGGCAACATTGTCAGGAATGGTGCATTTGTGGTATAAGTAGAAACAGCGAATGGACTAAATATTTTAAATTTTGGTTGGCTTAGATTTAAAGTGACTGTTTTAAATAGTGACTAAATATAAACGGTTATTTATTTTCTTTAATTAATTAAAGAATGGTGTAGTATGTGTATATATGTACGTGTAAGTTGTGTTATTTATATCAGTCATAACCTAAGTTCAATAAAAGTGGAAACTGATTGTAATTTTATTAAGCATTCACTTATTGTTTTTCGAATTAAATATAAATATCTGATTATGATTGAATGAGTTTATACGACGGTGGTTGTTTATGCACGCACGTATGTTTAGTAGTGATCAGTATAATGCGTTGCAGTTTTTTAATTTCTGTTTTAGTAATTTTTAAAGAAACTAGACTTACCATGTAAATCGCAGCGTATACATAACAGAATTCCAAAATTTGTCTTTTAATTCATTTTAGTAAATTAGGTATTCGATGAACAAAAAAATAAGAATAGTTTAACAGATTTTAACTATTTAGAAACATTGAAATCTATACTTTTCAGTCTTATGTTCAACTCTAAATTTCTTGTGTCATAAAATCTTTAATTTAATTCTATTCAGGTGCCGAGAAAAAGTTTAATAAATTCCCGAAATTAAACAATAAATATTTCCACTTGTTGTGCTAACATCAACAGTTAAAGTATAGCTGGGTTATCCAATATGCTTTGTTTGATGTGTTAATTATTTATGGTTTTATTTAGCGCACAGTTTTGTGTCTACCACAAAAATGGCTGTCATTTGGAATAATTGTGCATTGCCTTTAGATACCTTACATACACAGTGTTTTTATCTTTTTTTGTTTTGTTACGTATAGTTAATTACCTTTGTTTGTTAGTATTTTTGTTACAAGCACTAGGAATTTTATATTATTCTATACAAATTTAAATATAGAGAAATAATAAAATTTCCAGAGTAAAAGATGCCAGGAGAACCATCTATAACTACTGGGAATAAGGCATCTGGAAAAATCAAACGCATTTCTATTCCAAGAGTTCAAAGTAGTACAGATACAGAATTGCAGTCTCAAAGTGGATCCACGCCGCTGCAACCAAACGCACTTCACTATGCTGCCTTTCGTATAGATCCGGACGACAGTGTGCTACCCCCGACTTTACGATGTAGACTAATGGATTTGTTTCAACAGATTGAAAAGGAGTTTGAAATTCTTTACACAGAGAATTTGGGATGTATGGTTTTTTCTAACATTAGCTTTATAATTACATTATCGAATACCTTTCATTTTTTTTATATTAATTATATACTTGTGAAATGAGTAGTTAGAATAAAACTATTATCGAAGTTTGGAACCTATCTTTTGTTTTTAAAAGAAATATATTTAGAAGTTTTGTACGATTAATTAAAATTTTTAATGTTTTTCTTTTTACACAGTGCAAGAGAAAATTGATGTTCTTAACGAGAAGCTTGAAAGAGAATGTTATGGTTCTGGAGAACGGAGCTTACCTCATGGAGATGTTGCAGACTTTCCAGATACAAAAAGTTTTCCCAAGCAAAAATGTAAGGATATTAATCGTTTAAAAATGTTTGCTATCTATCATTTATTATGTAGCCATAAAATTAAAAGAGTGTACGCATCAACATTAAAGATATTCTTTTTTATCATACCTAAGAAATTGCTATGCAGAATTAATTATGTAGAAAGTTGCAATTTATATTTTGAAAAATTATTCACGATATATTGTATGTATGATATACTTAATGAATATTCTCAGACTTGATAAACTTTATTGAAGAAATGCAAATGTCGTTCCTTTCCTTTTCAGTGGGGTTTTACAGCACATAGTTTAGTAGATCAAAGCATACCAAATACCATAAGAAATGAAAAAAATCGATAACTTTTTAATAGCTTTGAAATAACAACTCGTATTTCAAGCGATCCATTTCGATTCGCGGGTAAATGTCTACTAATATAAAGTTAAAATTAAGTATTAAAGCAAACAACGAGATCGAGTATTCGTAGATTCGATGATTTATTTATAACTTCTTAGATAAAACTCTTTTTATTAAAATTGCATTAATACTTCGGAATTTGATGCGTATTATCCAAGAATATTTTTGTTGTTCTTCAGCCATGGCAGGAAATTCAGCACAGAAGACGAAAACAACTTCCAATAAGTTGAAGGCACAGACAAGTAAAATAGTATCCAGTTTTAAAACACCGACTATGACTTGTAGTATGCAAAGAGAATATTCCGGGCATCGAGATGGCGTCTGGGAAGTCTCGGTTGGAAGATTAGGACAAATTATTGCTACAGCTTCTGCTGATCATGCTGCTAGGGTATGGGCTGTAGATAGCGGCCGTTGCCTTCTACAATATATCGGTTAGTTTCGTAAAAAAAAATGTTGACTTAAAAATTAGCTAATTTGAGTATGTTTGTAAAAGAAATGCTTTGAATGTTATATTTAGGTCATTCTGGTTCTGTGAATTCAGTACGTTTTCACCCGACTAAAGAATTGGCTTTAACATCCAGCGGAGATAATTCTGCTCATGTATGGCTGGTAGCCGTCGACTGGGACATTCCCAAAAGACAAAATTCAACCGAAGATCTATCAGCGTTGAACTCCGACAGAAACATTAGCGGCGTCATTCCCATGAACGAGGAACTGGAAGAACCCCCTACCCTAAGGTAATTATCTACACAACTGGATTCAAACTTTGTTTATTGTTATTTATTTAGGTTGGAGCCCTATAAATTGGTTATTTATCTTGAAAACACATGCCCTCAACGCTGAACGGAATAAAAACATAACCTAATTGCTCGAGGCTTCCTCTATAATTTCTCATAAATTATATTCATAATTAACACGTTGATTTCTATGATAGTTTTCCATATCTATAGACAGCCTCGATATTTGTTTGAATCAGAGAATCGATAATTCAACCTATCATTTTACAATATTAAGCAAGTATAAGTTTACAATCGTAGGACGATCATGTTAGAATTGTCGCATTGTTAATCTTCGAACTATTATAATTCCGTAAAAAGAAATCGTACAATTAACCTGGGGTCATTTTAAAGGTCAAACCCTCTATCCATTTACCATGAATTATAAGATTAGAGAATGCAATTTTTTGCATCTTTATAGAACCCCAGTACGAGAATTGTTAGGTCACACCGGTGTAGTAATGGCCGCTGATTGGTTGCCTGATGCGGAACAGGTCGTAACTGCTTCATGGGATAGAACGGCGAATCTTTATGACGTAGAAACCGGCGAAATTATCCACACTTTATGTGGACACGATCAAGAACTCTCCCACGTTTCTACTCACCATACGCAAAGACTTTGCGTTACTTCGAGCAAGGATAGCACTTTCCGTTTATGGGATTTCCGAGAACCCAGTCATTCGGTTTCCGTTTTCCAGGCACATACCGAGTAAGTTCGAAGGGAAACCGAGTGTATTCGAACGAGTTTGTTAAACAGATATATTAGGGGGACCGGAAAGTAATGTTGTTTTTTTACATTAAATTCAAACAGATAAATTTTAAACAAGTTTTTATTTTTAATCAATGATGTAATCATCCTCGTTATCAACAACCTTTTGCCATCTAGTATGCAAATAAACATCGCAAATGTCTCTGGTAGCAACTGTTGCGTTACTACCCTTATGAAACTCAAAAAGCATACAATGTCGGATATGTACCTCTTATTTGGCTCGCCATTTCACCATGAATTGCAAAAAACATTTAAGATTTAATTATTTACGAGTAAACGAGTCACTCTAACCTTGCAGTGTCTGTGGTGCGACTTTGGAGTACACAATGAGCTGATAAATGACAAACAAATATCTACATGCGTAGAAACGACATTGCTTTCCGACCCCCCTAATAGTTTAATCGTTTGATCAAACATTAAGTAGTAATTTAACGTGGCCCTTGAGTTTGGTACGATATTATGAGGCAAAGGGATCAATGTATAAAGTAGATTTCCATTTGTCTTAATTATTGCGAATAAGACGCGACGAAATGTTCATGGCTGCAATTTTTTGAACGACAGGACAGTAACATCCGCCGTTTTCACGCGCGAGGATAAAATCGTTTCAGGGTCGGATGACCGAAGCGTAAAAATATGGGAATTACGAAATATACGGAGTCCTTTGGCTACAATTCGAGGCGATAGCGCCGCTAATCGGCTTGCAGTTTCTAGCACTGGTACTGTCGCAATTCCACACGATAATAGACAAATTAGGTTGTTCGATCTCAGTGGTCAACGATTAGCTAGATTGCCTAGAACGAGCAGGCAGGTGAGTTGAAATTTCACTTGCAGTAACACCAACGACGTAATATAGTTTACAGAAATTATTTTTTTATTTTTTTTTTAAATTATATTTTGCAACTTTACATTTCTAATTAAGTGTGTCGGTTTCCGACCTCGGGGAAGAGCAGCATAGATAAAGCCGCCCTGATTGTCTAATCGCATGGTTGTAATCACAATTGCTAATTACCGTAGAATGTATTTGTGTACGTTAATTTCAGGGTCATCGGCGAATGGTTTCGTCGGTTGCTTGGGCAGAGGATAGCGGTGTCTGCAATTTGTTTTCCTCTGGTTTCGATAGATTAGTCCTTGGATGGAGTATTGTGCATCTTAAGGAATATTGAATATACATGTATACAAATTTAAATCTAATATAATCATTATATTTAATTACATAGTATTTTAAAGTGAACAATATGGTAAATGTAGTTAAAAGCAAATTATTAGACTAGTTCTAAAGATTCAAATAACGCGAAGAGAAAACTAGATGCACAATTGTAAACTAGTATGCCCATTCCCAGGACGATTAAGGATTCAATTTTTCCGCTGTTGGATACCACTGAAATTATATAGAATATATATATATATATATATATATATATGAATTGCAGTTGTAAACTCTGTGCAGTAAATAATAAATTATGAACACATGTTGAACTTTATGCAAACGTATCAATCGAAAACCGTTTTAGGGACTCTAGAACGAACTTTGGGGCCTCCAGCAAGACCTCAAATCCTTTTTTTTTTTATTAAATTGAAATTACAAATTTAATGTTTCAGTGATTTGTTAAAGAAATGATATTTTCTTAGTTAAAATTCGGCAGAAAATAATTAATTTGTATGCGAACTAGTATTTTTGCTTACCCGAATAAGCAGTTAGCAAACAGAGAAGCGTGTATCCCAAAATGAGAAGATAATGGGGCGCCAGAAAAATATGACCCCATGTGATTTCCAATAATCCTAACAGTTTGAAGGATCCGCCTATTACCAAAGCTTTCCATACATGCGTTAGGCTGTATTTATTGTAATCCTTCTCAGAAAAATACCATTTAACCTTCGTAAAAAGAATCACAGTGCAGACGAATGTAGCAAGAGAAAAGCCAGTGTTGAACAGAAGCAAATAGAGATTGCAATGTCCGTCGAAAGTAGGCTGAAATGTTCTGGAAGTTTCGTTAATTTTTTTGTCATCGCATAAAGAAAGATTTCGAAAGGACTCAACGAGCCAGATAATTATGACTAGCTTCCAATGAGACTTAAATTCGCAATTGTAAAGTAGGTGTCTGTATGCTCGTTTGTTCAGTAATATTAGATCAACTAGGATTATTACTGGGTCGTATTCGATGTATTTATCAGCCAACTGGTCACATGCATTCTGAAATGATTAATACATTTATGAGTTACAAAAAAAAATAACGAACAAAAACAATTAATCATTTAAATGTATAATCAGACTTATTAATTTACAAATCTTGTTTAAACTCAGGAATAGACCAACGAAGTGGAATTGTTTTTGTGGAAAATTATTTTATTTGGATTGCATTTAAATTCGTATTTTTTACGTAAAAATTGGAACAAGAACATCGTACGAAATCATCCTAGATTTCGGAGATTGAGGTCACCTCAAGGTTGTTGAACTTTGACGTTAATCGCAACGCAATAAAGTCCAAAAAAAAGTAATTTTTTAGCCATTTTTAACATTGCAATTTACAGTCGATGAAAAAATTGACCGATTTCTGTTTAAAACATTTAACATTTTTAAATTCAACTTTAATCATGCCAAGAGACACAAGTATGCTTATTGATAAAGTGTTACGTGTTCTGTAACTTATCTTGATATAATATTTGTTGTGTTAGCATGAGTAGCAAAGTCTGTGAGATAAAATAATGATTAACCTGTGTTTATCGAAACAAAAAATTAAAAGTTATGCAATCTATATAAAAATAAATAATCTTTAAATAAATGTTTTATTTTTTTTAAATTGATTTTAACATTTGAGTTATATGATTCATATAAAATGGATTAGTATCAACAAGTGACCTACACATTTCAAAAGCTTTAAAACATTTACACAGTATCTTCCATAAAGTTCTTCCACCACAGCTCCACAATTGACACAGCGATACATTACCAAATTGTCTATTTCTTATAGTTAATTATTATTACGAATGCATAGTGTTTAGGCCACACTTTCAGAGGTCACCTGAAACTAAAGTTTTTTTTTTAAATAATAAAACTACCTTCAATCAAATGTTACCAAAATTAAAAGAGTATAATTATTTACAAAATATACAATTTTATTTCTGGCTTGGCTCTTAAATAACAGTGATTATCAATTCCAAAATAATAATAATTAAACATATATTACAAATTCGTTGAAGTATCTTTTATCAGAATATAAATATACTTCTCAAGGTTGTTTCGTGCATTCTTAAGCAGGGTTGTTCTGAAATTCACAACAGTGGGGGGGAAGTTGATGTTAAAGTAGTAGAGGGGGAACTGGAACTACTATTAGACACGGGACAAAATGAACTGAAATATGTTCAATCATATCATGACATTGGGCGTCAGTCAGGTTGTTTCCAGGCATCCCCACCAGACCCAATGGTTCCCTTCCATCCGATACAGAAATCTCGAGTATCAGAACGCAGTTGGGAGCTCGTGGTTCCCCCCGCTTCCACGAATACCAGAGCAGCCCTGTTCTTAAGTTTTTTTTTTTTAGTTTTTGTGTTATCTCTTCTAACGTAAACAATGAACCTTGAATTTCACGGAAGACTGCACCTTTGGAACAAATGGAAACTGTCCTAATTATCGAGTGCCCCCGAGGCCAGAAATAAGTAAACGGTCATAGTGAAAGTGCGATGTCGATCAGGAATGCAAGTGGAAGGGGATTCGTGAAGATATAGTCTGTAGATGAAGAACAAAAACACAGAGTAGCATACTGTTCTTGCAAAGAATCGTTCGGTCTCGTTATAACAGCCTGGGGGAGTCGTGACATTGTTACATTTGGAAAAAGGATTTCTCCGGTACGATTGTTATAGTAGAGTACATACGAAAGTGGTCATCGACGATTCAGTTCCCTAACGGAGTTTTTCCTTAACAGAAGCAATGAAGACTACTTCGATATTACTTCCGAACGGGTGTTCAATGCCAGCGCTTGGCTTTGGCACGTGGCAGGTAAAATTAATTAAAACATTGTCAATTATTTGGGGTAGAAATAAAAATTTCAATTAGTATTTTCGACAGAGAACCTCTTATTATTCGCGTCATTTCTAAATTCAAGTTCAAATATCAGCAATCGTAATAGCGAGTTAAATAAAATCATTGCGAGTTATTTTCTTTAATGTAAATATTTACTGGACAACATGTTGAAGTATTATGTATTTCTTTGTTTTTTATGTTAATAGAAATTATGTATTTATTTACAATACAGAAATTAACTTCAAGTTAATGTAATGCCCCGCTCTTTTCTCGGTAAAAAATATTTACTATATCGTAGCAGTGAATGTTCAAGGTAAAATTAGTTTAGTTGTATCACAGGTCTTAAATACATTTTCAATTTTTTCAATAGTTTGCATTAAATGTGCATGAAAAATACTTCGATTTATTCACGCATAATGCAAAAATAAATAATTTATTGTTATTTTATTTATACATATATATTTATTGTATATATAACTTACGAGACAAAATTCTGATTTTTAATATTTTTTCGAAAATCCTTGAAGCTTTTGGCTGAATATTTTATGTTGAAAATATATTAAAATTATTTTTTGGAGCTATTCTGTGTGAAATGAATAGTATATTAATCTATTTAACTGTGTTATCAACAGTTGGGCTCATAAATGAGATAATGAGATAAATAAGATTAACGTTAAAAAATATTGTAATCTTAATTGAGTATCATAGATGTAACATTTTAAAATTATTTATAATTATCAAGGTATATTCATTCCCTGGTATTGCAAAAGCTTTTACCAAGCAATGATTCGTATGTTCCTTTCCATAGTTTCTAACCTCAAATTTCGTAACAAACTGTTTTATCCATTATATAATATAAATTTTTAAAAACATTCCATGTTTGAACAATGATTATAGATTATAATGTCCTATAGTAATATATAAAAATAACACATTTCTCTAACGTGTTTAGTGAATTTCTTTAGAGGTTAGATACGTAAAAGTAAAGTTAGTATCCCAGTTGTTTTAACCAGTAACAGTTAGGCAAAATAGGAATATTGTTTCCCTAATAAAAACCATATGTAGTTGTACTCACGTGGCCATTGAGTCTGTCAGAATTTTCAAACTTTGTAAGTCTTTTTCTTCATTTCACCAATTTGGAACCCTAGAAACTTTAGTTTTCAGACCCTGAATTTCATTATTTGCATTTTCGCCATTTATAGAACTCTATACCGCCAAGTACGAACGAAAGAAACATAGAAGTTATTTCTTTCGATATGTGATATATTTATACTTCTATAGATTGTCCTTTGTTTTTGAATATGGTATTTTCTTCTCGAACAGCTTCGAGAATGTTTTATTTAAAAAGTGAAACCAATTTTGAAAATTTAAATAAAAGTCAGAGAATATTGGGCAAATTGTATTGTTCAAGGCAAAGGAGGCGGACGTTCTTGAGAAAGCTTTGGATACTGCTTTGGAAGCAGGATATAGACATATTGATACAGCTCCGGTATATGAAAACGAGGAAATAATTGGTAAAGTTCTTAAAAAATGGATCGATTCTGGAAAAGTCAAACGGTCCGATCTCTTTATCGTTACAAAGGTATTATTGATGAATTGTTGAAATTCACGATAATAAGTACTGTGAAAAATATTTAAATCGTTATAATATGCTTTGACATATTATATTAAAATTTTTGAAACGTTTAAAAATCATGTTCGTAGCTCCCACCGTCAGGAAATAGGCCAGAAAGTGTTGAAAAATACATTAAAAAATCTTTGCAAGACCTCCAATTAGAGTATTTGGATCTTTATTTAATTCACACCCCGTTGGCTTTTGTGGATGGCGAAGGTTTACATCCGGTCGATAAAGATGGACAAATTAAACTCGACTGCAGTACCGACCACGTAAAAGTATGGGCCGAAATGGAGAAACAAGTGAAATGTGGCCGTACTAAAGCGATTGGCCTATCGAATTTTAATATTGGCCAGATCGAGCGAGTTCTAAAAAGTGCAACGACAAAGATTTCGATGTTGCAAATTGAGTTGCATGTTTTCTTTCAACAGAACGAATTGGTAAGTACGAGGGAGCGATGTTACCGACGGGACGCCTAAAAATACGCAAACAGATAGGTGACGTGATTGACTGCAGCTAAAAAAATATGTTTTATCACAGACCAAGTATATCTCGTCTGCGATATGTGCTTTATAAATATTTAATATTACCGTTGCGTAATATAATGCTGTGAGGGTATATATCAACAGGCCTTGTAAAAATACGGTTTAGAGATAGGTAACTTTATTGGCGGGACGAATTAAAATAGATCAGAATAATTCTGGGGTAATTGACGTGGTTTTCAACAAAGTCTCATCACAGACGAGGTATACGTCTTATAAGCCTTAATGGACTTTCGTGACCCAATCTGACCCAATCTGACTGCCATAGCGACCTGAAAATTCGGAGGTGATTTTTTTTTTTAAATTTATTTATGTGGTAGACCTCATGGATACCTACAAAAAAGTATTAAATAATATTTCCGTGGAGCGTCAAACAAATTTATTAAATATGAAAAGCAAATTTTAAAGGAAAAACGACAGGGGTTAGGTGGACAATTTCTGTCTCACTTCCTCGTGTGTTTATTTCTGTAACCTGTCGGTAATGTTGCGGGTGACACGAAAATGGTAATGGGGCTCTAGAGCCCCATAAAAATGGGGCAAAAAAAATACATTGGATGTAAGATCTACCCGTATACCTCGTCTGTGGATACATTTAGTCCTCGACCCGGTCATAATTTCTCAAAAAATTAGTGCCAGGTCATTTAGATACCTTCAAAATATTTTTAAAATACTTTGCAGGTACACTATTGTAGAGAGCATGAAATTCCCATAACGGCTTACTCGCCACTCGGTTCCTGGGGGCTTGTGAAGTTAATGGGGAAAACGGAAGAGATTCCAGATATGTTACTGGACCCTGTAGTATTGGAGATAGCAAAAGCTCACAAGAAGACGGCAGCGCAAATTTTACTGCGATTTATTGTTCAGCATAATATAGCAGCTATTCCAAAGAGCACAAATCCTAAGAGAATTAAGGAAAATATTGATTTGTTCGATTGGGAACTGAAACCAGATGACGTAGAGAAACTGAAACGCCTTGATAAAGGGAAATCTGGCAGAATTTGTGATTTTACGTTTTTCAAAGGGCTTGATCGTCATCCTGAATTTCCTTTCTAAATATGTTACAGTTTCAAACAACATCGGGATGGATTTTTATATTGTCACGTAATTAATTAAACACTAATGTGAAAATACAGTAACTTTAATATTTATTTTATGGTTGTACATTGTCCTGAGAATATTTCTGGATCGTTGAGACCTTTGGGACAGGGGGGAAAAGATTGAACAAAGAAATAGTACATATTCTTATCTGAAATATTCATTAAAGTAACGTAATTAAAAAAACATAAGTTTTTCTGAAAACTTCTCTTTTATTGTATCGTTTGCGAACAAAATCTGATACGCGTACAATACAACTTATATATTATGATACATGAACTTGAATTTTCTTTACAAAGTCATGATTGGTACGGACCCATTCAAATATACGTCAATCCTGATTTATATTTTATACACTTCGAGTCAAAACCTAGGTGCGTACGCTTCTTAAAAAAAGCTACCAAACATTTCACTAGTTACTTTTTTCAAAGTTTCCGCAGTTTTACATTAGTTTAATCACATATTTACAAACAAGATTGTAACGCACACGACTTCTTAAAATCAGACCAATTATGTTCCATGAACACATACAAACGACCGAATAACGAAGGTTGAAGACATTATAAACAAGCCTGGGATGAAGTTCTGTTGCTTTGTAACGGGAGAACATGTAAATGCTAGGGAATTTTTTCTAGATTAAGAACGTAGTACAGTGAAAACTCGATAAATGTCCTCAAGAGTTGTTCCGTAAATGATACATTTTTATCTCCACCACTAGGGGGATCCCCCTTGAACCAGTTGGGCGAAGTGTAACCGGAGACGTAGTGACATTTATCAAGTTTCAATAGGAGTTAAAGTAAGGTTATGTTCTGTGCAAGTTCCACGAATAAGGTCTCTAAAAAGAGTGACTGGTTTTATTATTTTTTCTTGCGAAGACCGAATAAGGAAAACGACAGAACTTTCTCTCAGACTGAACTGTACCTCCGGTGATACTGATTCTTGCCAGTCAATTTCACTCCTGTTCGAACGAACAGAGATAAATTGAAATGATTTAACGAACTTTAAAGTGTTATAGCTCTTTTTGGTAGAGATGAAACACTTTAAATAAAGTTCCATTAAAAAAAAAAAATGCATACAAATACTTTTCTTTACTTTTGTCTCCTGACATTTTTTCCCCTAACCGTTTTAGAAGTATAGCTTTTCCCAATTGCGTGGGGCATCCTAAAACCTATTAGAGTCCTTTTACACTTAGGCACCGATTTCGGCACGTCTGCCAATCCGTTTTCCCGCTACTTTCTAATCAGGCTACGTCCCTGAATTAGTGTCACCAGACGTATATAGAACTAAATTAGAATTCGGTAGGTACACGACGAAAATGCGGAATATCTGTTCGGATATCCGCGAAGGTAGACGCAATGGAAGTATCTGAAGTTCGTTTGTGCGAATAAAAATTAGATGTATCGAGAATCGATTAAAAAAAATGGAGAATAGTAAACCATGTATCGTATATTCTAATTATGTTCTCTGTATACTTTACACTTTTTTCTTATAATATTTAATGTGTACTCGTAAAGCAACAAACGTATATATTAAACTCAGCCACTTTGGTTAAAGTGAAAAATTCATTACCATTCATATCCAACAACGTCGTACATCCCATACGTAAATATTAAAGATATGTTACATAAAAAATTTCAATATCGTCAAACTATTTTATTATTTTAGTTCGAGTCAACAAGGTCCGATCGGTCCTTAGGTCACCAAGAAAGATTCAATTAACATAATTAGGGCATATACGCCAGGCGCCAGTGATATCTACCGATCGAGGAAATCTCCTTCTGTCAGGGACCATAAACTTGTTCCCTTTTTCAAAATCTACACCCACCACCCAGTCGTACTCTATCCCACTCCTGCGTAGGGGTACAAACGAGGCAGATACAACGGGAACAAAACGCGCATGCGCCACCCTACCGCGAGGTAGGTGTAAGTGGGGACATTTCTTGTCGACTTGGTATGGGAAGCTTTAAGTGGGAGTTTGCGGTCCCCGCAGTGTTAGTTGTCACTGAATTACGTGTCACTCGTTTAAGTTACTGGACGCGTCTGAACCAGTCTGTACACTTGTGTGGTGAGGTGGAGGGGAGAGGAATAATTGGAAAGGGAAGTAGGCAAATGGAGGACTCTTATGTTTTTAGCTACAATGAGCGTAAATCACTGACACCGTGTGTACATTCGTTTTTGAAGATTACCGATAAAATTTCTTGCATACATGCTTATCCATACCGTTAACTAAATAATATTATAGCTTTACATGTGATGAGTTATATTAAGATGTTCAAATCAGTCTTATTGATCAAATTCAGGTTAAGTTGATCAATATCCTTGGAGAATTTAAAAACTAACATTATCTTCACGCGTTTATTATTGGTATAGTAAGAACACTCATTGTTCCGTTGTATACCGTCACTACCGACTTAATATTCGATAATTTAAAATTGATCAGTCCGTCTGACATCGACCTCATTTTTACTACTTTACACCTTTATCGCACACCAAAGAGCTTATACGTCTTATAGTAGGACAAACGGTTAATAAATTTCATTTAGCAGCTAGACGCGCGTATCATCACAGAATTGTCACATCAGACATAATACTCGTTGACATTAAGCGCGTCGGAATCGCATCCCTATACACAACTCTCTTGAGTCGATATTAACGGCGTGCGAACAGTAACGATTTCTATTGAAGGATGGTGTTTACCACTCATCGTCGAAACATTGAAGTCCTGGAATGCACTCTTTGTAGACAAAGGTGTCGGTACACACGACGACCCGTTAGAGGCGTCAACTTTCGACGGCCTAGCGTTGTGGTCTATGCAAGCATAGATCGTCGCTTCTTTCGTGTATGGCTTTCCGCCTACGATTACTCCGCTCCCGTAACCTTGAATAGTGCTTAAACCACCAACGCCACTTATGCTTGTCAATTTCGTATCGGTCGCTAACGTCGATAATGTCGTTGGTCGCGTCAAACATAACTCGGCATAGGTTATCTCGCCCGATAACTAAAAAAAGAAAGGAAAATACCGAATATTATCGCCTGTATACATACAGCGGACCACTTAAACGATAAAAAGGGAATACACTTACCGGTAAAGTCGGATAATTATTGTAGTCGTGAGAATATGGCTGCAATCCTTGCAGATGATTTACTTGTTGAACCGAGATTGAAGATGGGGGAAGCCCATCTGGAGTGTTTTGTGCAGCCAATGGGGTGCCGGACATTGATCCCGTCAATTGGTAATCTGAACCTTTTAGTTTATTTGTTTTATTCAATTTCTCTGTTTAACTACTGTGACGTATTATTGCATCAACATATGCAGATATTTTGAGTTCGGTATTTATGTATAACTAGCTATAATATTGAGCATAGCTTGTTCTCACGATAGTACATGGGACAGTCAGAGAGACTGAGAGTAAGAGAGAAACGGTACAAGATACTTTTTTTACTATCTCCAACCGTTTCAGAGATATAGTTGAGAGTACGAACATTCACATACTAAAGTAAATAAATATCGTACCTTTATTTACTGGCACAACATCCGGATTCCTGTCGTCGGTATCGTAAAGATCCTCCGAACTAGGCGCGGTACTTTTTTTTAACGGTAAATCGCTCGGTCTTTGAGTTCTTCTTTCACTTCTGATTTTCATAGCTGCCAGAATAGCGATGGTAATCAAAAGCAATGCGGTAACCACTCCGATCAAACCCCCTAATAATGGGGTGATCTCGAATGGTACCGGGGTACCTGTAAACAAAATACGTACTGCTTTTGTGCATTTATATTAGAATTTGGCAATCGTGGGAATAAATATATTAATATTGATGCATCGAGGGGGGGAAATAATCGGGATCCTTCTAGTTTTATTTGCAATTAGGTGTTCAAATCAAGCGGGACATATTGCAAAATTCTATAGGTCGGTAGAATGTATATGTAAAATGTGTTGAAGTAGTCCCACAGCATATTCCTAGCAAAATACTGTTTAGAACATACAAGTAATATTCTCAGCATCATTTACCAGTTTGCTTTTCCGCAACTTTTAGAGTAAATCCTTCTAAAAGCGTGGGATCGCTCCTTCCTTTCCCGTTTACCGCGTACAAGATCATATTTAGAACTTTGCCCGGTTCTAAATCTTGAACAGTAAAGATCGCGTTCTCTTTGGATGTGATGTTCGCTTGGAGTTTTCCTGTGTGCTGGTCAAAGACTTCGAGAAGAAAATGTTGAGATTGACCGCCATCAAAACCAGGGAAACATTCGACCGAGAGCGACTTGGTAGTTTGGTTAGACAATGTACAATTGTATGGAGATTCGGGTTTCCCTATAAACGGTAATGTTACAATAAAGTAGTCGTTCAGTATTTAACAATTGTACATTGGTATTAGAAAAAATTACGATCAGTGTATATACCCGCGGATTTTTGCCTTTTGAGGGGATTATGATTTGCTTGCGTTATTGTTACAATAAAATATTTTTTTAATGTATTTTGTAAATGCTGCATAGTCGTTATTTACAAACACGATAAGTGTTTTAAGCTGTTCGACAAACAGTAGTTTCGTAGTAATCGTGGCAATAAGATCATACACTAGGGTGTTATGGTGGTTTGAACGCTGATTTGTGATTGAATGTTATGGGGGGGCTCGCTTTTGGCTTATGTACCAACCTGTTGCTCTTAGTCGGTAAAGACGGTCAGTCTACGGCCGCCATCTTTACTGACCAGGCACCAAGGCGACACCTAGCGTTTCCTGTTAGTAAAAGTGACTAAGAAAGAAGACGACGTAACGCATGTGGTTAATACTCGTTGCATCATTATTTTATATAAAGTTTAAGTAAATCCTGTATATTATTTTACGTGAAGAGATGAATATAGTGCGGCAAGAACAACTGCTGAGCAATAAACTTGGAGCAAGAATAGAATTACCAAGGTACTGATTACATTATAAAACATTCATCGAAACGTTTCTATTCGCTATGAAATGAACACACTGTTTCAACAATATCGCCATAATATTTAATATTTAACATTACTGATCAGAGAATGCTAACTGTTAACGAAATAACAGTTATTTATTAATAATAGGTTATGTATGTCAGAATTCTCAAAGTGCAACAATACTACTTAAAAGATAACCTATTTTAAACTTTGAACATAGTTGAGCAGAGCCATGATATAGTACAGTTACTTTACAGCAATTCATACAACCTGTTGCACATACGTTGATTACGTGTTAGTTAGATGTTGGTCAAATGTGTTGATTGTTAAATAATCGGATTTCCCTCAAATGACAAAAATTTTTTTTATCCGCAAATATAAATAATATACAGTTGCAAACTCATTTTACTAAAGATATTGTCTCTGAACAATGAGGGTCCAACCAAAAATATTTCTTCGCGCTTCCTTCTTTGTCCATGAGTAATTAATGTTAGCTTTTAGTGACTTATTTATATTTGAGAATAGGTGTTTATGTTTTTGTTACCAAGTATATTACAAGACGTTGAAATAATATGTTTTGAAATACCCCAAGTATATTGCTGATATTTAAATGAGATTTCGTACTGTCATAGAGTTTATTATCCTAGAGTAATGACATATGGAATTAAATACTTCTTTTACCCATACTCATAAAATTGTAATTATATCTTGTATTCAAGTTCCAAAGTTCGTCCTCTCTGTGGCTCTACCGAAGAGCCTGGCTCATGATTTCTAGGCAAAATGCAGTTTCTTTTTTTTCAGATTATTAACCAAACTTTGGGTATGGCTGGCATCATTTGGGACATGATAGATACCAATTTCAGCATAGTAAAGGCTGCGCAAAATCTCATTCGAATATGGGCGATACGTTTGGGGTACTTTTCTCCTAGGCATCTGGAAGTAACAGTTCCAAAAGTTATACGTACCCGCAGGAATAATATGAAATACGCAGGCATTCTTCTGCTGACCAGCAGTATTACTAGCCCAGCAGAATACTGTGCCATAATCCATTTCCGTGACTGGTCGGTATATGAGAACGCTCTCAGTGTGGCGAGTCGAGTTCCTGTAACTTGATTGGGGCACATCCACCATTTCTTCGGTATTATTGAAGGTCCAACGGAAGCTATCCGGTGGTGGATATGCCTCGACTCTGCAAATTACCCGAGCATCTTCCAGACGCGTCACCCCGTAGATACGCTTCTGATCTGGTACACAAATAGGTTTATCTGTGAACAATGAAAGTGAATGTTAGCTGCAACAAGATTTCTAAAGGTTGAGGATGTTTAGTTTAATGTATCAATTGCAAAACAATATCTCGTGCAGTATCAAGTTACGATAAGATGTCCACAGATTGACTTACACATAATTTTAAGTTCTACGTTATTGCTATAACCGTCTCCTTCGACGTTGCTAGCAATACAAGTATAATTTCCAGCCTGAGAACGATTGACCTCTCTCAAAGCCAGACCATATTGTTGCACTATCACACCATTCTTTGCATTATTCTGAATTACGTTTCCCTGTAATGAAATAGTTTAATAATTGGATGTGTATGTAAAGTGAGCAACCACAATGTTAGATTTAACAATTCTAAAGAAATTATACTTGAGTGCTTCAACTTACGTTGTGTTTCCATACCACTTTATAAGGATTAGGATTAGCTTGTACTTTACACTCGAAGTACACGTCATCGCCTTCTTCTATATCGTCTGGATTCATATTGGATCCCAATTCCAGGTGCAAAATTGGAATAACTAGAAGAAAACAAATCTACAACTATCATAATCCTATTAATCACCTAAGCTATAATTACAGGATTTATTATATCTTATTTTTTAGAAATAGAATAATAATTGGTAGTAAAATAAAATTTGTAAACTCAAACGAACCATTAAATCGTTCTCGGATACCGTGTTTGAAAATACCAAAAGTCCTAGTTTTGTTAATTCAATCGTGTCAAGAAGTTAAATATTATTGGAATACATGTTAATAAGACCTGTATAATAGTTATAGTAGAATTTCCAACGTGATACGACTTGTAGAAAATATTTTTCTTTTTTTTTCAAACATCAAAATTCAAGTTTTACTTACAAAAGACATTTAACTTCCACGTGTTTTCCATCGTGCCTCCTTGAACTTTGGTATTTTCTGCCCGACAAGTCACTACTTTGTTATGATCATGTAGAGTTGGTGTCAGGATTAACGTGGAGCTCGTCATGTTACCGTCCTCGGATACCTTTGATATTAAACAGCACATGTAACCATTACTTAGTCTTGCTTAATATTATACGGTCCTTAAGTATGAGTATGTGTGTATTTGGTAGGAGGTGAAGTCTACTAGAAGGTGATATAATGCGATTCTACTGTAATTTTGTAAACCATGGGATAGTTATATGTTTCGAGTGTTATTATCGTTTCAAGAGGGGGCAAAAGGCTGGAGTGGGATTTTCTGATGAAAAACCAGATCAATAACCCTGATGAAGCTGATGTTCTTCTATATCTGGGTTACTGCTTCGGTGGTAATCTAGTGCGGAGAATTTCGGTGAAGTTGGCGGGCCTGCTCCGGCTAAATCCACTCATCTCACCTCCACGCGGGGCCCCTGGGACCCTGAAACGATTCGATCGGGACAGGGTGCGAACGAGTGAGTGGTAAAACCAGACACAAGGGTCACAGACCCCGGAAGAATCGTGTTGAAAACGAAGAAAGAAGACTGACATGTTCCAGGAATAGTGAAATAGCGAAACTAATGTAGGAATTACTTTCGGTGAATCCCTCAATAAGTCCTTAGAAGATCCAAGAGCTGGCGCTCGTAGCATCGAAAATGGTTTGTTTTTAATAAGCATCGTGACTCGCTAGACACGACTAGATTAGTCAAAATTTCTATCTGTGATTCGGGCGTTTCCTGATATTGAAATCTTTAGAAGTGCTTTGAAGGTAACGTCGTGGGGATTACCCCAAAATAGTAATGTTTTAATACATAATTTTAAGTGTCTCTGTTACAAATACTGTGAAAATGAGTGTGTGTGTTGTGTTGTGAAGATCGTTACGAAACGGTAAGTAAAAGAAATACCTTCTCCGTGTAGTTAGTCAATTTTCTTCCGTCTATGTACCAGAACAATTTGGCCGGTGGTCTTGAACCAGCGGTCACGCAGTTTATGTCGTACTTCCGATCAGCGCTGAGCAGTGCATGCTCGCTATTCATTATCGTCACGGTTAGTGGTTTCACTGAAATGTAGGAACAATAAGTATACTGGTTTTGATCGTGAAAAAACTACATCATTTGTGAATCGTCGCGGAAGTGTACGAAGAGGCAATTGTGGACTTTCGTGACGTTCAAGTGCATTAAAAACATTAAATTTCGTCAACAGTGAAGAGCGAAGCAACGATTATGTCCATGTTGTTATGAAACTACGCTTTAAGTTACGACCACAAATGCAAGATAATGCCCATTTACGTTTTTTAGCCCCAAAAATATCGACACGAGTGCTCTTCACTCGCAGCGCAGCCTCTCTGACTATTGTTTTAGTCTTTCAACAAAAGCCACGGGAACTTACAGTGCATTTCGATAGCTACAGAGGCAGATGCTGGTTGGCTGATATTGTTGTTGGACGCTTGACACGTGAAGACCGCGTGAAGATCAGCTCTCGAGAGCTGGTTGACGATCAACGTGTTCCTACGAAGAGCAGGGAACTCCCCTGGTTCGTCTTTGGAGTCCAGAAGCATTTCCCCGCGCCACCATCTCACTTTTGGTTCGGGGCGACCTGAGGGCAAGCTCAAATCAATTAGAATTTCAAGAAACACACGAGCATTAAAAAAAAAAAATAAAGAAGAAGGAGTGAGAATCATAGTTCACCCTGTATGAGAGAGTAAACACGATCCGTGGCGCAGGTGTTGGTAAAAATTCAAACGCGTCGAGAGCACCGTTGTATGTGTCCTCTCTTGATAGAGACTGGGCGAACCAGTGCGACGAGTGTTTGCAGACCATTACCGATTATTTACACAGACAAAATTTATCGGTCGGAACGAAACATTGTATGATCGCGGTTGATACCCGGAATAAAAACCCTGAAAGCGGTCGTGCGAAAAATATTCCCGCGGTTAGGGTGCGGCCTTTCGGGTCGATCGAGCGCGCCGGCTGTTGTACGACGAGTCGTGGAATTGACAATTCGGATTCGCTTTACGACAGACGCAGTTCTCGATGCAGGACACGTTAAATAACAGAAATTTTTTTTCCAACCAGGTCTTGACCCTTTTAAGCTCACAGTCTGAACGAAGTTTACAAACTAACAACGTCCATGAAGATAAATATATTAGATTGGTGCAAAAATAATTGCGGTTTTCGCAACCAGAGGCTTTTGGAACTACGTGCATATGGTACACTATTTTAAAGCGTGAAGTAGACTCTATCAATATATGTTCGTCGCTTGTTTTTGGTTGCTGGCATTTAGTCATATTTGGTTAGAAAAGTAAAAATGGAATAGTTACAAATTCGAGCGATATAAAGCCGCAGAAACTGCTCGCAATATTAATAAAGCATTTGGCCAAGGAACCGTGACTGAGCGTACAGCTCAACATTGGTTCCAAAAATTTCGTACTGCTGCAAGCAGATCCACGCAAAACGTCTCGAGAGTTTGCAGAGGTACTAAATGTCGACGATTATTCGTCATTTATTTCGAGTTGGTAAATGCAAAAAACTCGATAAAAAAGAAGATTTACTTTTAAAAAACACAAATGACCCATTTCTTGACCGAATCATAACGTGTGATGAAAAGTGGATCTTACACGATAGTCGACGGCGTTCTGCTCAGTGGTTAGACCAAGACGAAAAGCCAAAACATTTTCCAAAACTAAAACTTAATCAAAAAAAGGTTATGGTCGCTGTTTGGTGGTCCAGAAGTGGGATTATTTATTAAAATTTTCTCAAACCTGGCGAAACTATCACATGGAAGAGATATATTATATAATTGTAACTTTTGCAACTCACCTCCGGAGACAAGACACTGCAATTTCATGACTCCGCCATCCACGTATGGACCTGCCACTGTTGGCACGGTTTTTCCATGTTCGTCGATAATGTTTGGTTTATGCGGGGGCACTGCAACGCAGAAGGAAAACATTCTGTGAATTTTATAAATTACCCTTCCACGGGCTAACTACATAGTCAACTTGGAAAAATATAGTACACAGCTTCGAACTTCTCTGTTGGACTCGGAAGAGCCGGAATGCCAAGCATTCCAGGGCAGAGATTCTTGGGGTTGTGGGACATACTGAAATCTGATGTCAACCCGTCGAATCTCGTAGTTAAACGATTAGTTCAATTTAACGGTTAGCATTTTGAATAACAATTGTACTGTGGTCTCATTTAGAGCGAAGTTGTATAATATCTGGATCAGCTGGAGATACACGGAACACTGTCGAGCAGTGTGCGGGTGTTTTTATTCCATTTAACTAATAATCTTATTGCATTTGATACAAACCTATTACCGTGAGGTGAATTCTTGAATTTCTGGTGGGGCTCTTAGCAAAATCTACTCGACACCTGTATTCACCTTCGTCCTTCTCTTCGATGTGATTTATATTTAAAGTCGCCGGTTCCGTGATTGTCCTGAAGAACGCCCGGTCGTTCAGATGGTCTTTGTCGTTCCAGTGGGAAGCCTTTTCGGAATGTTTGCCCCTCATATCATAACTGAAACGGAGCATCTTCGATTTAGACTTATATTCTAATAAAGATTCTGTGAGATTCTTCATCTAAAAAAACTCAAAGTAACGTTACATCCCAAACAGAATCGGTTTCGAAAAAGTTATCCGTTACGAATGTTGTACACCTTTAATGCTAATCCACCATATGCAAGTTCTGAGGTATCTCCACTGATTCTTGAGATATTGACTTGTAACAAGTTACGCGACTGGTCCTGTACGTACGCGACTATAGAACAATCGTTCCGCTTGAAAGGAAGGTTTCTCTCGCTTGGCACGATCCTCAATTATGTGGTTGGTAACATTGCCCAGTTTCTCTAACAGAGTCCAAACTTTGAGTCATAGAAGCGAGTTGTATTGGAAAAGTCTCCCTCTATCAACATTTCCCCGCCCAGGGTAACGATTCATTTGCATTCGCTGTGTACTTGGTACGTTAAAGTCGTACTGTACGAAAACTAAATGTGTTTTAAAAGTGCCAGCTTAACGACGCAAAGATTGCTAACAATAAAGTAAAATGCTAAATAGAGACGTGTTATTTTGAAAGTTTTAAGCTAAAGAAAGCTAAAAGGAAGGAAAAATCAGTTGGCTCCGGAATCGACAGTTAAGCCACTAGTCTGGGGGAATTTTAACATTAACATCGCGAACGCAGAACCGTTTGCTGGAATCGAGAGAACTGATGTAAGAAGAAGATTTAATGGTAAGACGCTTATGGGAATTGAGCGCTTGTGGAAATAATTAAAGTCTCGAATCCGCAGGCGCAAACATTCGAATAAAGTTGAATTATTCAAAGTTCTAAAAGGGAAGTGGAACAGAGTGAACAGTGACTCAAGTTCATATCGAAATTTCGTCCACTGTTTCGACATGTTCGATAGAGACTAATTTAATGGGGGAAATTTTACGTCTGTTTCCTAGAGTTTTCGCTTCTCCGTCGATAAAAAATAAATGTCATAACACGAGTTTCCGACAAAGAGCGAAACAGAAATTAGTTTTCAAGGTACTCGGGAACTGATTCCTCCGGAGTCGCGGGGTTTGGGTATATGAAGGAAATTCTACGTCGTTGCCAAAGTTCTGTCCATCAGCGAACATTGGACCAGCCCGTTTCCCCAGGGAAAGCGCCCTAATTGTAAGAACACAATGGGAGGAAGGTCGCGATACCCACGGACAACTTCAGTCAGTTAATTAAACGCGAATTGATTGTCAGCAAGAATCTTTGGAGCAATCAGGATTGCCACAATCAAGTTTAACAATAATTATTGCGATAGGGGATACCGCTAGGTAAATATTTTAAGGGTTTATTCCGGTCTACACATCATTTTTTTAGCGATCTTAAATGTCCAACTCTTATACGTAAATAAAACCGTCTAAGAAAAGGCGATAATAACTCGTGGGCTCTATTAACACTTTACCGACCGGTAGCGGTTGATTAATCGGCTATCGGTCGGTCGTTGGTCGGTAAAAAAGTTGATTAATACGCTATCGGTCGGTAAGTGTTGGCCGGCAAAAAAGTCGATTAATAGGCTATCGGTCGGTAATGTGTTAAGTAACGAATTTAATTAGTTCTATAGTTAAGGAATTAATATTTTCTTATTACTATACTGCGGATGTTTATGCATTTGTGAACTTAATGTGTAAAACTATAAGGAATGCTTAAAGCAAGATACGAATTACTTTATTTAGGGGTTATGACAACCCTCTACGAAGCTCTGATTTCATTAATTCTATTAATAAAAATATGAATTTGCATAAAGATCTGCAGTCTGTTTAGTGCACTATTGAGAATAAGAAAGTCGCTAACCTGTAGATAGGCGTGATGTCGCTTTTGTACCAGACGACCAAAATGGCGGAGTCGTTTTGTCGCGGGGGTCGTATGTCGCACGGTAATTCCGCTGTACCCTGAATAACCGCCCTCGCTGCTATAGTTGGTCCTGTAACATATACCACTGATTAGATAGTTGTTGTCTGTACTGCCTTTAACAAAGTTGAAAGAACCGATAAATCTAGCTTTTGTTAAGTTTTCTTTCGAAAATTAAATTAAAACTTCTTTCATCCAGATTTGACATTTAAAGCCACGGGATTAAAAAATATTATTTGCTGGCAATTTATACCAAATTCGATCGATTTAACGATTTTAATGTAATCTCAACTCGTTGGAAGATATACCTGAGAACAATTGGAACGACGTCTGCAATATTTGATAGAATCGATACGAAATATTTTACCGTATCGCGTTACAATTTTACAAAACGGAGAAATTGTTTCGCGCAGGTACATTTCACTTGCTCAGCGACTGCATTATCCGCCTTAAAGTATGATGAACCAAGAGCCGTGCGCGCAATTATCTGTTTCAACGAAAACCTAGATAAAAGACTAAAGATGATATCGGTGGCTGTATTAACACGCGATTTCACGCTCCAGAAAGCACTGTTTCAGTGAACGAACCGCTTTTCGGTCTCCTTTCGAGTCAAATGTCGGGGAATCGGAGGGAATATTTGTGGAGGAAACAAAGAAGTGAGAACAACCTAAGAGGGAAACCGTCTGCCAGAAAGCGGAAACGTTCTAAATAACTGTGCCATCGGTACAGCGTGTTCCAAACTTCCACGATCACGATCCATTGCGAAATACAGAAAAAATAATACACTTATTTACCAAATAACTTCTTCGATATAGAGAATAACAGCCATCAAAAAGAAAGAAGATACATTCCCAGACAAAATAACACAGAGTGGCGTTACATTAATGAGGTTTCTTTGGGTCAATTACAGTCAATTTTTGGTCAATACAGCGGGTAAATTACAGTCATTTTTGGTCGACAGACATACCTCCGAAATCCTACGCATTTTAGAGAAAAAAAATTGGAGCAGGTGCCTGAATTTTTCGGTGAAAAAAAAGAATTTCAAATCATTCTAGAAAAAATATTTTTGGTTTCGGAGGTCAATTATAATCATTTTTGGTCGTTAGACATACCTCCGAATTCCTCCCCACTTTCGAGAAAAAAATTCGAGGTGTGAAATTTTTCGACAAAAGTAAAGAATTTCAAAACACTCTGGAAAAAATATTTTTGTCTCCGGAGGTCAATTACAGTCATTTTTGGTCGTTAGACATACCTCCGAAATCCTACGCATTTTCGAGAAAAAAATACGAGCAGGTGTCTAAATTTTTCCGCTAAAAAAAAGAATTTCAAATCATTTTGGAAAAAATATTTTTGGCTCTGGAGGTCAATTATAATCATTTTTGGTCGTTAGACATACCCTCGAATTCCTCCCCACTTTCGAGAAAAAAATTCGAGAAGGTGTGAAATTTTTCGACAAAAGTAAAGAACTTCAAAACATTCTGGAAAAAATATTTTTGTCTCCGGAGGTCAATTACAGTCATTTTTGGTCGTTAGACATACCCTCGAATTCCTCCCCATTTTCGAGAAAAAAATTCGAGAAGGTGTGCAATTTTTCGGCGAAATCGAAAAGTTTCAAATCATTTTGGAAAAAATATTTTTGGCCCGGAGGTCAATTATAATCATTTTTGGTCATTAGACATACCTCCGAAATCCTACCCATTTTCGAGAAAAAAATTCGAGCAGGTGCCTAAATTTTTTGGCTAAATCGAAAAGTTTCAAATCATTCTGGAAAAATTATTTTCACTTGCGGAGGTGAATTACAATTATTCTTGGCGAATAGACACACTCCCGAAATCTTACGCGCCTTCGATGAAAAATATTTTGTCCGGGAGTGTAGCAAGATACAAGAAGGCTCGAATGAAAGGTATCCGAACAAAGAAAAACATGTATGGGCAAAAAGCGCGTCGTGGAGAGGACCGTAATAGAACAAAAAGATTAGAAATCATTGTGGTAGCTGGTCTGATTTCGTTTACCCCTTTCTGCGCGTAGAAACAACTCAGCCAACCGAGATAGCCGGCTAAGCCGATAATCCGCGGGCCAGACAGTGTCGAGAAATCTTACGACTGTACTGAGCTTGGCGCCAACTTCCATGGGAGTGTTCACCTCTGCCACTTCCTTACATCGCTCGAATATTCCAAAATCGTATATTCCGGAAGTGTCTTAACCGTGATCAAGGTATAACCGTGAACAGGACGATTTTCGCAGCTGCTTCGGACGAAAAACCAATTTCAATTCGTAGCTTTTATTAGTTTCAGTAGAAAAAGTATTATATACATCTACGATATTAAGCAAACAAAGCCGTAGATAATTGTAGAGTAGTGCAATTGCCATTGTTTGTTAAGAATAAATTTCCTAAACTGTAGAGTTCCTCCCCTTTTGGATAAAATGGTACACTAAGTCTTGTAAACATCTTGTAATCCCTTGCTCAACCACACCAAGAGGTATTTAGGACTCTGGAATTAATACTTTTCTTTCTTTGTTTTAGTCTTAATCATCGGTGGAACGGGTTGGGACAGACTATCTGATTATAAGGCATTTGTTTTTCGGCTACCATTGCTTGCACAGTCTACAGGGTGATCTCCCTCTGGGTCTGTAACCCTTTTACAGATTGTTGATAATATTATTCAGCCTCTTCAGGCTGTGGAAGTATTTAGACTTAACGAGACCCAACCTCCTTCATATCAATTAATTCTACACCAAGGGGGTGTCAAAATGAATAGCCTTCTCATCTCTTCGTGGCAAAGGAGAAAGGTACTCGAACGACTCTTCTTGACTTTTGAGTATATTTGACTTTAAGGATTATTCTGCTCGGCTCTTCTTGAATAAAATCTACATTGTATGCACGATTCTTCCCTCGAATATCATATCGAAAAGCAAAGGAGGACATGAAAACAAGTGCTCTTGAAGTATCGCTTGACATTCTGTGGAATTCATTTGAGTATCAATGATCTTGAGTATCTATTGGTTCTTCGAGTAAATATATTTCTACGTATGGATCAGGTGACAAAAGAGGGGGAAGCCACCGCCTAAGCGAGGGATTGGGTGGCTGAAGCCTTAATCGACGACGAAGGGGGAGAAACAGACCAAGGACTGTCGTTAGTTTCGATTTGCGCCTGTTTCTTCACTGAAAATTATTCGCTGCACAGAAGATGCACGCTTTAACCGCGTTTCTGTCAATTTCCAGAAGCACCGTGATTGTTGTGCTCTGCTTGCATCAACGTTTCGAACAAGTTTTTGGAAGCGCCACTCAGAAACTCTTCCGAGCGCATTCTCTTTTGAGCGATATCGACCGATGGTTGTGTTCTCGAGCGATGCGCCGGTTCGAAGTGCCTCGAAACGAAGAAGAAACGCCGCGAACGAAGTAATGGCGGTTGAAATGGAAGCGGCGGAAAAGATTACCGCGCGAGGAGCTTTACTGGAATCGAATTCATCCTCCGAAGACGATATCGTGGAATGGCCTCCCGGTATAACACTTTTTACTTTCAAACAGGTATTATAGTTTTCCGTTGGATGCACGAATCTCTGAAATACTGTTCCGTAAGTCTGTTTTAATTTCTGATTTAATCGCGAAGGAACGTCGGTCTTCTGAATAATCGTCGGATCGATCTAATTTTCGAACGAATCTCCGCGTTGTCGCGATTCAGAGCCAAATACAGAAATCGAACGGACCAATTCGTCGAGTATTGGTCAACCGTTCATCGGCTATTAGGGCAAAGGTTATCAGCCGAAGTATCGCGATCATCGTACGGAACAGAAGACCTAAAAGCGTTTACGCGCAAAAGGTTCTAACGGGCACGATGTTTCGGGTCAATCGATCGATTGCTGCGTGAAAAGGTACGAAATCGCCGTTTCCGAAATTCCATTATGGCGGCTGACGTTAGAGTCGTCGCCTTTTAGCTAGCGTTCCCGAAGAAAATCGATATTGTTCGAACTGTGGTCAATTTTATTGTCCTTTTGATTTCTAGTCTTATTAAAAAAAACCTTTGTGCCAACGCTGGGACTTTTAGATTTTATCGAGTCGTAGTATCTGTCGTCACGGAACAACGAAGTCTGTACACGTGGCAAATTTAGATTATCGACGCAGAACGCCAGGAACCATCTTCGATTTCTTCGACTCGTGGTTGGTCGCGTTTATGGTCGCCGCATTCCAACGCGACGTGTAACATTCAGCGCGGAATTCGCGCTGAGACGCGACACGAACACGAGCGGCTCCAGCACGCGCGACTCGTGCACACCGTTGTGTTTTTAGCGTGAAATTTCCGCGATTGGTACGCGAAACACGTGATCGAAGCTATGCAGCTCGCGGCGAAAAAATGTCGAGAACGCGACAGCATGTTTGGGATATGCCTATTAGTAAATTCGAACGAGGCCTGATCGCGCCGGGCACCGTTGCATGGTTACATTCCGTCGCGCCATGTTTGATGGCGCTGGAAAGAGCCGCCACAAAGGGCGAGGCGAGAAAATATTCGGTTCGAATAACATCGATGACGTAGGATTTTTTCAAAATTATTTGTACGATGCGGTCGAAATATTTCGAGCACTCGAGACGAGCGACGATTGGTGAATTAATAAAAGGGTCCCGATAGTAGCGGTGTTAGGGATGATCGGGCCAGAGGTGACTCGGTAAAATTAATAATTAAATTATTTATTGAATTTATATGGCATAACAAGAGATACACTACTCGAAAACAATTATATCGATCTACATAATTTAAAATTCTATATTAATCTTTGGAGCCTACCCAGCGCCGAGACTCAAAGCAAAGCAATAATACGTGCTCAATTCGAAAACTGAGAATCGCGATTGAAATTCCATTATTAATCTTACAACGTTCACTTTATTTTTAGAAGAAATTCTGTGCCGTCGTTTCTAAGGTTAGATTCGTAGACTATAAAGCTTCTGCGATTTCTTCTCTTCTACGGTGCACTCGGAGCCCCACAGTAGGATGTGTGCAGCGTGCGGTCTTTATTTCGTAATAAAAAGAGCTTGAGCCTCACGCATGGAGACCTTAAAACATAATATAAGTCTCAAAGCATGAAGAAAAAATA